ATGGCTCTCAGACGCCTGGGAAGTGGCGTCATCCTCATCTGAACGAGGTCGTCCGTCGACAGAATGCTGGTACATTCGGAGATCGCAATATAAATAGGCTTGTGTGGAACACAGCCGCTTTGTTTGCGACGTGGGTGTTTGGAGACACCATCAAGTCATAGTGAGTGCTGCTAGCAGGCGCATCCGGTGTGCGGTTCCAGGGGCCTTCTAACCAGCGTCGCAACAGTTTGCTTTGGCTTCAGAAATTTGGCTCGGTCTCTACATACCCCGATCTTTCATTGCTAGTCCTACGAGTCATCTTTGCTCTGAACATCCTGGTTGCATTGTACCCGCTTTTCCGCCCGAAGGACAACTTCTCCGATATTCCATTGACCCCTACACAACGCTCGCTTTTGGGACTGGATCCCTCCGCCACACAGTCGTTTACTCCGGGCACGACCTACGTTACTCCGCCTAGGTACCGACTTTCTGCGTCTCGGAACGCCAGCCCAGCTAGCAGATCCGGGTCCCCCTTGTCAGCAAGCGCTGGCGCTTCCGGGCACAGGCTATCGTCAGGACCTTCTTTCTCGCCCTCTCCAAGCCCGTTATTGCACAAAGTGGTTACAAATGGGAGCAAGGAAAGCGGGCGGAGGCCGAGCTTTGGATCTTCGTCTCCGCTCGGGCGCAGCTCATCCTTTTCGCCTTTCAAAGAATCTTCTTTTAAGGAGTCTACGTTCAAAGACTCTACATCCACATTCAGAGAATCGACCATGTCGACATTTTCCGGTATGTCCAGCATTGCGCCCGCGACTCCTTCACCGGTGGGTGGCAAGCGTGTGAGCCTGGGTTTGAGCAACAAGTGGCTGTATGAGCGGAGCCGGCGCCTGTCAGCAAGCAATGGTAGCCTTTGATTTGGACCAGATTATTGGTCTTGTTTTTGGTCTCAGGGAAGAATAAGAGACGATTTATGTAAACTCGTGGGTTTTCTAGCGGGGTGCTTCGGAAATACCTTTTTAGGCCGTATTTTGTTATGATGTTGCATGTTGCATGATGTACTTTTAGAAAGGGTCCGTTTCCTAAGAATAATCTCGAGTAATCTCCGAGAGACTGCCATTCAATCGCGGCGTACTTTCAAATAGGAGACGGTGTGTTAGATTCAGCTGAGGTTCGTTCCCCAGTCGATCCTCCGGGTCTCCGCGGGCCTAGTTCCCGCTTCCAAGGCATTGACCCCAAGACCGCCAACATGCCACAAGTTCATTCATTCACACGCGGCCTCAAACTATTGGGCTTACGTCCCAAGCAAATCACCCTCGAGGATTACCCTCGTACCGGACATTCTTCCTGAGATCCTAGTGCTGCTTTACTGCATGAGGTCAATAATTCCGTGATCTTCGCTGGAGACTTCACCATGGGAGCTTCGGAGTCCAAGCTCGTCTTCAAGCAGGGCATCTTCCGTCTTTCAGAGGAGAAGGACATTCCTGCGGATGATCCCTATTGGGCCAGGGTTTGCCTTCCTTTTTCTTGCTCCAGCTTTTCTGTGACGCCGAAGTGGCTTACTGACCGATTCGTGTAGTTCTGGGAGCTCCCAGAGTCCTCAGAGGACGTCTTCAGCCTGTTCACACCTGCCGATATACGACGAACTCGCGATCATGCCTTATCCAACTTTGAAACTCTCTTGCTCTCAGTCACCTCACGTCTCACCGTATTAAAAAATCATCCATCTTTCCCTGACCCCGAACTCGCCCCCGACCGCGATGCGCTCAATTGTATCCGCATCCTCACCCGCCTCCTTCCCTTTGTCTACGAGGCTGAACACCTAGAGGAATGGGAGGAGAAATTTTTCTGGGCTCGTCGCAAGAAGAGGACCAGAGAGGCGCAGGTGGCTGCGGAAGTACTTTTCGATGAAGCGCAGGCGGAGGACCCAGACCAGACAGCCCCGCGATCGACGGGTTTTGAAGATGCGAAACCTTTAGCTGAGGAGTTGATCGACAATCTGCTGGAGCTTCTTTTCTACACCAACTTCACGATCCCACCGCTGCCCACCGCGAAGACCAAAGTGTCGTACTCGATCTGGCAGAGTGGTGTGGGTTGCAATACGTCAATGGGATCTACAAAAGAGCTGGAGAACAACCGCTGCGAGATCCTACGATTATTGCTTACCTTGACGGGGAAAGCGATGTACATGCCGTCTAGTGAGTTATCGTCTTCGCTTTGCTGGGAGCTACTTGCTGACTATCGAAGGTCTACTTCCTGTGCAAGGCGTCAAGGCTATCACGTACATGACGACTTGCTCGGACAAGCAGGTGGTTTTAACTCTACTTTGCTCACTACTAAACACTGTACGTTCTGATAACACGCGGTTGTAAGGGTGTGGGTGGTGCTAACGAAGCTACGACAGGCTATCAAGTACAATCCTGCTTCATGGAGGGTGCCCTATGATCATGTTGTCTGGAAAGACCCCAAGCAGATATTGGTCATCTATTGTCTGCAGTTTCTCCTCGTGCTCCTTCTATATCCAGTACCAGAAGATGGTCGCGGAGCGCCGCCGAAAAACTATTATCGGCACTACTTTGGCAGATTACATCGGCCGCAAGACTTCCAATTCCTTACTGATGGCATGACCCGAATCTTGAATCAGCCGGTCAGTTTGCCCCTATCTCTACCCAGTTGCTCTGCTAACTCGCTAGTGAACAGATGCAAGCGACCAACTCTTATCTTCCGGGTAGTCAGAGATCGGTCAAATGGGCTCCTGAGATGCTCGTCTTATTCTGGGAGGCGTTGCAATGCAACAAGCGATTCCGGTCCTTCATCATCGACTCGAACCGCTCGCACGACTTTGTCATTCTCTGTATATTTTATGCTATCGAGTATAAATCCGACCCTTCTAAGCAGGGCGTGGTTAGAATGTGCATCTTCATCATGCAGACAATGAGCGTGGAACCCAATTTTGGCCAGAGCTTAAACACAAAGTTCGAGGCTCAAGAGACTCTCCCTCAGAGCATCCGTATTCCTGGCTTCCGGGGATCCTATGCTGATTTTTTGATCATGGTTTGTCGCTCACGGTTCGAAAACTAGTGGCATGAACTGACAGTGGTGTAGTCCATTCACACTTTGATCACTGCCAGCAAAGGAAAGCTGAACACAGTATACCCTGCGCTTCTTGCTATCATCAACAACATTGCCCCGCATGTCGAACATCTTTCTCCAAGCTCGTGCTCGAAGTTGCTGCAGCTCTTCTCATCCATGTCAGCGCCCAGCTTCCTTCTGGCTAACGAGACGAATCACTCCCTTCTTTCCTCGGTCCTCGAGTCTATCAACTCAATCTTCGAACATCAATTTACCAGTAGGTCATTTGTTGCAACCTCTGAGACAACATGCTAACTCGCTTAGAAAATCCTTTCCTGGTATATGCTATTCTAAAGTATAGAAAGCGTTTTGAGGCAGTGCGAGAATTCACTCTGGAGAGCGGGCAACAAGAGATAGAACGCCAGAATGAGCGAAGAAAGTCTTCAAGCGGTTCGCATGAATTTGTGTGCAGTCCCGTTCTTTCTCCCACTGAGGAAGAACCTCCGGTGCCTTCAGACACGCGGTCTCCATTGGGCCGCATACCAGAAGAGAATAGTCCTTTTGCCATTGGCGGAGACGAGGATTCGGATGATGAAGGAGAGGGACGCGACACACCGGCGCAGGATTCGCCATCAGTACAGACTTCTCGTCGACCATCGATTTCCTCTGTCATTGAAGAAAGCGTTCCCCTTCAGCTGCGCGGCATGTCTGAGAAGGCACGAGGCAAGATGCCTGCTGGACAGCCGTCCTTCTCGCGACAGAACAGCATGACTAGCCAGATTAGTCTTTCGGCGGCGTTTCCGACATCTTCCAGTGGTTTCACGCCGACTACAGCATGGGTAAGTGCCTTTCGTTACCTCAATTCCCGTATTACACCACTAACAGTGAATTCTTTTTGTAGCTCGAATCCTGGTTGGCCGAACTGCCACTTCATACCATTCTCACGATAGTCTCCGCCATTGCTCCTCACGTCCCTGAGGCTGCATTCCGATCCGCTTCAAGCCCTGAAGCTCGAACCTTGATTAGCAACCTCCCGTCGTTCTTGGAAGATCCCGCAATCCATACGATTGTTTCGGAGCCATCGCCGGTCCGCGTCCACTCGTTTGAGTGGTCCGCCCTTTCAATGGGCTGGTACGAATCTCTGCTCTGGGGATTCATCTTCTCGAGCGAAATGGTGGTTGGCACCGCCTCGGGCGCTACGCCGGGCACGGTTGGAGTTTGGAATGGAACCAACATCAAGCTGTTCAAGGTCCAGGAGGCGGCAGCGCAAGGGCCCACGTTACTTGCGCCCAAGGGAGCTGTGGATGCCGTAGGAAGCAACTTGGTTCAACGCATCGGGAACCTGAGCTTCCGGCGGAGCAGCACACAGGAGTCTCAAACTAGCTCTCGGCCGCCGTCGATTCGGGAGGTGTGAGGCTGCTATGCCGGACTTCTGGCAGCTTTGGTTTGCTGGGCTATGGTTCGTGTCATTACTTATGTTAGCTTTTCTTCTAATGATTCTTATGTTTGAATGATACCTTCCCGGCGTCTCGCAGATGGGCTGGTTTGTGTGCGGTTCAGTTTACTTTAGAAAGCCAGCGTGAGGTGGAAGTTCATTTGTCCTTTCGCTTTGTATGTATGTTGTTGTAGTATCAAGTAACTTGTTCATGTCGAATTGAATGCTATTTTGAGACATTTCAACTGTAGTCAGGCATGACCTGGTCCACTGCCACCGCTCCCTACCACCACCTTTTACACCTGCCAACCAGACAACTATTATCTTGAGATCTAGGTGGATCGAATACGTACATTCAACCCTCTGTCTTGAAAATAGAAGCTATCAATTTGCTCCGTTAAGATCTCGGTGGTTGCTCGTGTTTTCCACCTACATCCCATGGGAGTCACTGGCCGCCACGTGAGGCCGCGATTGGCTGACCTCCCTTTATTTGTCTCTCATCCTCAGCAACAACGAAAGAGACCGACTCCGACATCTTAGGAAATATTCTTATTATTTGTTCATTGTCATCTTGAATAACGACTATCCTTATTACTTGTACTCATTGACTTGGTACTCTACAACCCTCTCTAGACCATGGTACACACCCGATCGCTTGCTGTCGCGGCGTCCGCGTTCCTGCTCGGCGATCCGAGACTGGCCGCCGGAGGATCCACGGAGCTCCAAAGCGTATTGAAGAACACGCATGGCAGCAATGATTATGGCTATCCCACGGATTTTACTAGGGGTATAATGCCTGTGAGTACTCCCTTGGATGGTGGGGTATCAGCTTGAAAAATGATGCTGTTCCTACTTCAATCATGATATTTCTTTCATATAATTTGAGTTGAAGCTTATTGCTCCATTATCAGATCCCAGTTCACTCGCATAAGTAAGTTCATTGCCTAATAGTAGTTTTACAAGTCCCATATCGTGACCCTTGGCTAATCTCCATGACAGTGACTATTGGAGAGATATACCTTTCTACACTGGTAGGCACGGCACTGTTAGCATAGCCAATGAGCATAGCTAACCGATCACTTCTACCAAAGGCCTATCCAAAGGATGCATTTCTACAGAAGCCGACGTATGGCTATATAACGACACCCTCTATGTCAGTCTACACGTATATCCCCTGCTCATGAACCGAGTCTAACAGAGCAATACAGGTTGGTCACGACGAATCCTCCCTGACGAAAGACCGGACCCTTGAATCCCTCTACATTAACCCAATCCTGGATGTGCTTAAACTCCAGAATCCCAGTAGCCCATTCGTAACAACCCCAACCAACAAGTAAGTCACCTATAACACCTTTCACTCCATCCAGAAGCAGGCAATTAACAGCACCAACAGCGGCGTCTTCGACACCTCCACTTCCCAAACACTCTACTTCTTCATCGACCTCAAAACCTCCGGCCCGGAGACCCTCAATGCCGTGATCTCCGCTCTCCAACCTCTCCGCGACCAGGGCTACCTCACCACTCTTAAGGACAACAGCACTATCACCACGGGCCCCGTCACCGTCATTGGCACCGGCAACACCCCGCTCGACATGGTCGGGCCCGTCGCAGACCGGGACTACTTCTACGATGCGCCACTCGAGGCACTAGCTGAACCTGAGTACGCCGATATCACGGATCTCATTTCGCCCATAGCATCGACAAATTTCGCGGCTGCCGTGGGACCCGTCAAGGGTGAGAAGCTCAGCGATAAACAGATCAAGGCACTGAGGGAGCAGATTCAGACTGCGGAGGAGAGGGGCATTGGTGCTAGGTATTGGGGCACGCCGTATTATCCGATCCGGACTAGAAATTTTGTCTGGAGGACGTTGTTGGAGGAGGGGGTTGGGTTGTTGAATGCGGATGATTTGGATGCTGTGGTGGAGTATTTTTGAGTGGATTTGTTGCTTGGTATAGTTACTGTGTAGTTAGGGTTGGGTTGTCGGCTTAGACTGAAGATGATGTTATCACATATTGGGCAGATACTACTATTAACAGAAAGGAAGGTACAGATAAGGGCTACGACCGTGACTATCATTCTTATTGCTAGGGAATAGCAAAGCTTCCTGTTCAAGCGACGGTCAATGCTTTTACATGAATTAGATTGCTAGCATAGTACTACTTTGTTCATAGTTGGGGATCTTGACTCTGACTTGCATGACGAGTAGGGCACAGATGGGGGCAGTGTGTCGTTCTGCAGAGTGTGACTTTGAGGCCATTGCTTCCTATGGTGACAATCGTTAACCCGACACTTTAGTACAGTGGATGGTGTTAAGTATATACCGAATGTATCTCATTCCCCTCGTATTTTATCGGTGGTAGATAATGTTTCCCCCAAAGTCTGTATAGATATAGTGGTTCTTGTGCGGATCCTTGGTAGAGGCAGTATGTTAATTCGGAACAGCGCAGTAGTGAATTACACTTGATCGAACAACGACTGACTTTTTCACTGACTTTGATAGAATAAAAACATTTAGTACTTCTTATCATGTTATAAAGCTATCCAATTGATCGATTTAAATAAGTATAAGCAGCACATTGCAGACGCGGGGATTGCAAAGAGAGGCCGTCAGATTACCGGCACGTGATCGCCCGTGAAATGGAACGCGTCTGAGGGGGGGGGGGGGGGGGGGGGGAAGGAACAAGAAGGAAAGAAAGAAAGAAAAAGGCACTTGGAGAACGCCACAGGCGCTCGCTGGACAAATCCACTGGCCTTCATCTGCGGAAGCCACCATCCGCGATGTCTCAGGTTGATGTAGAATTGGGCGAGCTGCTGGCCGAAGGGCTGCCGGTCCCCGTCCAGCTCACCATTCGCCATGTCTCCTCGACTCCCTCCCCTTCAACCGCGCTCTTCGCCGCGCCTCCCGGGGAGACGCCGGAACCGACCTTTTGCGAAAACCACTTTCTGTCGGCCTCGGTCAATTTAGAGGAGAAAGATGGCGCGGAGGTGATTGTCTTTGGCATGGAGGTGCTGGTGTACAGCACTGCGCACCTGACCACCATCTTCGTTTCCAAGGCCGACTCCACCGGCTACCTTCATCTCCTGCCCAATGCGCCCAAGGTTTCCATTCTCCGGCGCATCTCTCACACCTTTCTCTCCTTTTTGGTCAAAACTCATCAGAGACCGGGTGTCAGACTGCTAGTCTCGCTATTTGCCCGGGCGCAAAACCAGTATCTCTTCCCCGGCAGCATTGACAACCCCCAGAAACATGTCCTAGATGACCGCGGCCTGATCAAATGGTGGTGTCGCGTCGTCGACCCCATCTTGCGCGAGTATGAGCCGGAGTCCGGTTCGCAGGATAAAGGGGCCCAGGACCATCAGACGGAGTCGGCCAAAAGCTCAGCAACCGCGTTCCTGATCGTCCCGGGATGTGATCGGTTCGAAACCAGGGGCTTCTTTCCTCCTTTGGCCAAATCGGACGACAAGGACCGTCCAAGATGGCTCACTAGCTATCCTGTGCACCAATTGTGTGACAATCCCAAGGCACCCCCGCGTTGCTTGGTTCCCCGGTTTCCGGATGACCCCAAAACACGCTTCTTGGAGGACTTGGATGATGAGCTTCCGAAGCAGGAAGCGGAGGGTGCAGTATCCGCAGAAAGTGCCGGTCAGTGGCGAAGCGTCAGGTCTCTGGACCAGTTCTGGGAGATGATGTCGTTCCGACAAGAATGCTCGGCTGGACGACTGGTTGGGTTCTTGTGGCTTGTTATCAATCCTCCGGGACTTGTGAACTCGGTACAGATGACCAGTTCTCGGTCTGTCCTTGGCGACTCCAAGAGCCTGACGGACCATGTGTCCCAGGTGATGTCTGGCGAAAGTGTGACAAGTACAAAGCCGGCGAGTGATGCTGCATCCGCTCCAGAGCATTCTACGACAACAGGCCATGATAAGCAATTGTCATCAGACCCTACGGGTGGATCTACTTCTACTCCAGCAATCCAGCCAGCTGCTATACCATCTGAAGCTAAAACTCAGGCCCCGCAGCCCTCGGATGCAGATGCCTTTCATTGGCCTGAAGCTGGGCGAGGACATGCGGTTCTGAGTGAAGCAGACTACAAAACGGCGATCAACTTCCTGCTCGATCAAGATTTTGATACTGTGGAGGCCTCAATTGCTAGCACAAAGGCATGGGGTGAAAAGGTAGCCTCCCTCGCAGATCAACTCTGGGTCGGACAGCTGGTGGTGGGACGAAACACGAAGGATGAATCTTCCCAGAAACCTGTGGAGGTGAACACGCTCATGACCACCGGACTTGTTCGCAAGCGCAAGAAGCCCGATGCCGAGGTTGAGCAGAACAGCAAAACTGCTGATGAGGATGGTAATGCTGGAGCATCAACCCCGGCTCCTCCGGCATCTTCTGGGTCGGATCCATCGCCGGCTGTCAACGTTCTCCAAGCCAACTTGATCCGGAAGAAGAAGAAGACGTAAACAGACCCTACTCGTGTCGGTTTGGCTAGTTTTCTAATTGTATTCTTTTGGGGTTACCGACGAGCTCATGTAAATTGCATATGCGGAGTCGGAATTGGGTAGGCATTTGGCGATGGATGGATTTGCATTTTGTATAATAGGACAATATTTGGGACTTTCATTTTATATCATATTTACTTATTTACTGACCATATGACCGGTTGAACACTCTTCCGACAGGTTCGATGGACTAGATAATTAAGCGTGGAGCCACGGCATCCAAGCAGGCAGTGAAATATAATGTTTTATAGTAGAACTGTGCCTGAGGCCGCGGAGGAGGCAGTGCGGCTGCATCCGAGCATCCGCCGGTTTCAAACTAAACCAACTAAAGATGAACAGCGCAAAACCTCGCCGGTGAAACCCACCAGCAGCGCCCGAGCCAACCATCCGCTGGATCCGACTGGAACACTAGTGTCCTTCGGCTCGACGGTTCATTGCTTGTCTACCGTCTGTCTGTCGCTGCAGCTTGACGGTTTGCGTGGCCGTCGCTCCCCAGTCGAGGAAAAAAAGCAACGAATACGACTTGTGGCCCCGACCGCATTTCTCTCGTTCTCTCCACTTCGTCTTTCGTCTCACTGCCTGCTGGCTTGTCTGCGTCTTTCCCTAGAATGTCCTCATCGTCCTGTTCTGCCTACTGCCAGATCTCCGCCTCTCGCTGTGTCCGCCTATGTTAGAGCCTCAGTCGCGTTCGCAACCCCCCGATGCTAAACCAGCCATCAACCATGGCGGTTGGCAGTGGGCTGTCGCGGCCGGTTGGGTGGGATTGATTTGGTATACCGTCGTGGTGGCTGTCTGCATGCTGGGTTACTTACAGCTGTAACTCTACCTTTCTGTTTCCTCTCCAACCCATCTCGATCAGGCTTGGCATCTTTACTGACTTCCCACCTGTTATTCCCATCAGATGGCGCTTTTATTTGAGGAAACCCCGGAAATCTTCATCCGCATCGGCTTCGAACGCCCCCCACGTCACCGCGATCCGACCGGTGAAGGGTCTCGAACCCCATCTCTACGAGTGCCTGGCTTCGACTTTTCGACAGGACTACCCTCGCGATAAGCTGACTGTTTGCTTCTGCGTGTCCTCCCGCAGTGATCCTGCCTATCCTATCCTCCAGAAACTGGTGTCGGACTTTTCGCAGTTTGATGTACGACTTTACGTCGAAGACGATGACCCGTTACTCCAGCCGGGCCACGTCCCCGCCTACGACTTGGGGCCCAACCCCAAGATTCGGAACATGAGTCGTGCCTACCGTGAAGCCGAAGGGGATATTGTCTGGATTATCGACTGCAACGCGTGGGTAGGCAGGGGGGTCTGTGGACGCATGGTGGACAAGCTATGCGGGACTGGTGCCGACTCGACGAAGAGATACAAGTTCGTGCACCACTTGCCAGTTGCAGTGGACATGACGGGAACCGCTGGTCTTAGGGAGGAGCAGGAAGCGCTGTTGGAGGCTCACACCAACCGGAATGACAGTCGCGACAGCAGCGAGACCGCCATGGTCATGGACCACGGGGCTGGTATGCTGGCGACCGGTGGTGGCCGCTTGGAAGAACTGTTCCTGTCGTCCTCGCATGCGAAGATGTACACTGCCATCAACACCGTCTTGATCGCGCCATGCATCGTGGGCAAGTCGAACATGTTTCGCCGCTCGCATCTCGACTACCTCACTGCGCCGTCTCCGGCAGATCCTCACCGGCGCAACGCGGGCATCGACTACTTCTCCGACAACATTTGTGAAGACCACCTGATCGGAGACCTGCTTTGGAGAAAACAGGTCCGCGGGGAGAAAGAGCAAGGAGAGCGCTGGGGCAAACACGCCCTGGTGTTCGGAGATCTGGCTTTCCAGCCCGTCGCCAACATGAGCGTGCAGGCGTACGTGGCTCGCCGAGTGCGATGGCTACGCGTGCGCAAGTTCACCGTGGTCCTCGCGACGCTGGTCGAGCCAGGCACTGAGTCAATTCTATGCTCTTGCTACGGAGCATGGGGTGTCACGACAGCTCTGGCACAATACCTCGGAGAACAAGGGTATGCCATTGCAGAGGCACTATCCACCTGGACTGCATTCTGGGGCTTCTTCTGCCTGAGCATAGTGACGTGGATTCTCATCGACTGGACCGTGTACATCATGCTGCACAGCGGCAAGACGGTGGAACTGGACGAAGACACGCCGTCGTTCGCGCGGCCGCCCCGAGGCGTAACGCGGCGGCCCTTCCGGGCGTGGTTCACGGCCTGGCTGGGCCGGGAGATGCTGGCGTTTCCGATCTGGCTGTGGGCAGTGTATGGCGGCGTGACGGTGATCTGGCGGGATCGACAGTTCCGCGTGGGTTTGGATATGAAAGTGCGGGAGATTGGAGGAGATTCTCTCGCAATGAAGGGGACATCATCTTCACGATCCAGCTCGTCGTCATCTAAAGCCCGGCGAGACTAACCTCATACCACTTACTGTATACAATATTTGTAAACTAGAAGAAAGACCAGACCACGAAAGACCAAGAGCGCAATGAACTTTTTATGTATGATGCAAGTCTATACTATACCAACGAAACCTCCTCCACCTATTCATCATCATTATATATCGTAAACAGAAATTAATTCGTCGTATCCATCTTCTCCCCCTCCTCCTTCTCATCCTTATCCTTACTAGCAGCCTTCTCCAACGACTCCGCCGCCTTCTCCGAACTCAACAACCACTCGACAACCTGTCTCCCCCTCGTCATCTCCCCAGCATCCTGTTTCTGCTCTCCACCCTCGCCACCAATCTCCACCTCAACCTCCTCATCCTCGTCATCCGCTCCATCCTCCTGAGTCTTCCAATCCGCCCGCTCCGCCAAAAACACCGCATCCAGCCCCGCATCATTCTTCACCCCGACATCCGCACCCGCCTCTACCAGCGCCTTCACACACTCCAGATGCGTGTTCAGCGCCGCCCAGTGCAAAGGCGTGTTTCCTGAGTAGTTCCGGTGGTTGAGCACTTTGGTGATTTCTGGTCGGCTGGGGAGGGTGGTTAGGGTGGTGAGGAGGTAGGTTAGGATTTCTATACACATTCAACATTAGTATATGGGTTTGTGTGTGTCGCAGACACAATTATATCCCGGGGAAGAAGGAGGGAAGGGGATGGATGGATGGACGTACCTAGGTTCCCATTCGCAGCAGGATAATGCAGCAGACTCGACCCACTTCCACCTTCTTCTTGGGGAGCCGTGTCGATTGCTGCGGCGATGATGTGTGCCGGGGTCGTGGAGGTCTGGGTTGCTAGGGTGGTTAGGTCCGTTTGAAGGTCTTGGAGCTCGCCGGCGCGCGCGGAGTAGATTAGGTCGTCGATTGTGTCGGGGGTTAGGGTGACCATTTTGGATGGGTTTTGTTGGTGTTGATGTCGATGTGGTTTGGGGGGTTTGGAATTGCGGTAGGGGGTATCTTGTGTTTTAGTGTCTGGTTTGTGTTAGCTTTGGGTCCATGTGGGAGTTTGGAGTTTGTGGTGTTGAAGTGGGATGCATGGATGGAGGGGTATTTGATAACAGTTGATATCCTCCAGCTACTCTCCCTGGTTGTATATGGGAGAGACGGCAAACAGATCGGCTTGAACGAGTCTCAACCTGTGAAGGAAGCGCTTCTGGCTGCTCCAATTCTGCATAGTGTCTTGTGAAGTAGACAGCGCTGATCTCTTCTTCTCCATCTTCTGCTGCAAAAAAAAGTATTGCCCCTCATCACATGAAATGCCCCTCCATCAAGTTTGAAACAGGCTCAAGAAAAGAAAACGAACTGCTAACGCAGAGAACAAAAAGGAACGGTCAGTCTTACCTTCAGCGATATGCGTGAATCGTCAAGCGTCTCTGCTGCTGTCTTTTCGTGGTCGAGACAATACTTAATGTCTGCGGAGAACTTTGATGATGCCCGGTCAGGTGACCAGGTGGATCTCACCCATCTTTATCCATCTTTATCCATCTCTTATCGCAAAAAAACTACAAAGTATACAGTGGAAGCAATTACTAGGTTAGCTGGTGTAAAATGCAATATACTATACATTCCGCTCTATCATGCACCCATAACTACATCAACGCCATGCATCCTCAATAAGCATACAACAAACAGAAATAGGTATCTCAAGTAGAAAAGCAAAGTAAGAAAGTGCGCTCGCTCAATCGAGCAGCACCAGCACCAGCACCAGCACCAGCTTCAATCCCTCAACCACGCCCGTCTCTTTTCCTCCTTTTTCTCCCTCCTCTTCTCCTTGAACATTTTCAGCTCCTTCTTAGTTAACTTCTTCGCACTCCGTTCCGCCCGCAGACTCCGCCCATCATGACTATTCGCCGCCGCATCCACATCAAAGAATGCATACATCTGTCGGTGCGACTTATTCTCATCATTGTGGTACTCTGTATTCTGCGACGCCGCCTGCCACCGCCCCGTAAACCGGTTGAACGCGCCCACCGCCTCATATGCCTGTTCCGGGTCCAGCGCCCCTTTCCCCACAGCGACCTGATTGGGCTGCTCGTACTGCTGCGCATAAGGCGCCGTAGGATCGTAATCACCATGAATGGCGGGATTATAGCCACCTACCACAGCGGTGGTCGCAGCAGCAGAGGAGGAGGGACCGGCGGCGGCGTCTGCATCCTCCGCGACGGTGTTGTCATCCGCCTTAGCTGTCGCGTCCGGTACCCGCGGGTTCTCCCATTGCGAGATACCCGTGAAGCGATTGTAGAAGTAATAGGCTTGGGCGGTGGGGTCCCAGACGGGTTCCCATCCGTCGTCTTTATTATCATTATCCCCTGGGGGTACTTCGTTGGGGAGCGGCGGGGGAACCTCGTCCGGTAACGGGGGTGCGGCTTCTGATTCTGTTGCTGCTGCTGCTGCTGCTGCCTCCTCTGGTTCTTCTCCTGGTTCCTTGTCGCTGTTTTGTTCTGTTTCTTCTCTTTCCTTGGCTTCAGGGCCGGGTGTTGTTGTCTCCTCCGCGGTCGGGGTCTTCTCCTCGTGCTGCTGCGATTCTCGGGTCTCCGGGACCTGGGGCGGAGATCCCGCCGCGGATGGGCTGTCGTCGGTCGAAGGATTCGCGGACATCTCTCCTGCGATTAGCTAATTCCCTCTTGCTAGCTGAGCGGTGTTTGCGGGTTTGGATTGCAGAAGCGCAGAGGTCAACGGTCCTCTGGGTGCTTGCGGTTCTTTCACTGCTTCATTCGATGGGTTTATGATGTGAACCCGGAAGGTTGGATTTGCCGGTATGACTAAGCTGGGTTGCTGAAGGTAGTTAGTCTAACCTGTTTGGGTTAGATGTCTCTATAAGGTCATGTGATACTCGGTATGTGATTGGATGGGGCGGAGGTAGATTCACTTGGTTGAAGAAGTAGTGTGATTGATTGTCGCTGTCTATATGTAGAGGTCTTGTAGTATTTGCAATGATCTGTTGAGTAGAGATACAGGATGTAGCTATGAGAAACAAGATACTAAAACCAGTAGTGCTCCATGTGCGCTTTACTAGGGCTTACTTCATGTCAATTTACCGGGTATTGCCAGTGATATATATTTCTAGTTCGCATTATGCCGAGTTCATATCACTACTAGTAGTAGTACTACTTCAATAATCTCAAAATAGTAAGTACCTAGTGCTAGCGTTCAATAGCATTGACTAGTGACTACAGAGCCATTGAATAGGCAATAACCGAATAGCTGAACTGATAGGACGCAATGTTGTACCACTTCACAGGTGTATCCCAGTTAGACCATCGACATAAAGTAGCAACTACCTGCAATGATTTGAATATACCAATCTTATATAAGCCCGGAGTAATGCAATGTAGAAATGACAGTGTTACAGTCACCTATGCAGAAATGTCAAGTACAGCCTACACCTATCATTATCATTATTGGGGAGATACTAGTTGTTGAGCTACATAGACCGCTTCTTGATATCTGCTATTGTAAGATATTCACAAACCCGAATAGTAACTGCACTCACTACTTGAAATGTAATTTCAGTTCTTATCAGATATGCCACAATGAACTCCAAACTAACTATTCTCTATGGAAATGTGTCGCAACGAGGCTAAGTAACACCTAATCACCACCACTACGATGAAAATATAACTTATTATCCACCAAACTACACCACTTGAAGTCACCTGTATACCTCAGGCACAGCAAGCTATAACCCGAAAACCCCCGACCAGCAAGTGCCGATCACATCCTATACCGGATCAGAGCAGGGAGGTGGCCGGGTAGAGATCGAATCAAGGGATACACACGGACTACTGTAATTATGCGAAAGGCAAGGCATTTTCTTCCAAGAACGGGAGCTAGATATCCTTGGGAGATTTAGCTTTACTACAAGGTTAACTTCCCTAACAATAGGCTTTATTAAAGAGAATGAATATGAATGTTGAGTTTAACCCGGTCAAGGCCGAGATCTCCAAATATCTTGTTGGAATGGGTTCTATTTGGTTTATGTGGGGGGGGGGCTGGTATCTTGTGCATGCGAGATGCAATGCATGATGGCGTGGCTTTGAGGCGATCTTGCAGGGAACCATGGCACGAGGTTATTACTTAGATGGATGTATGTAGCATGTACGATCGAAAAGTATGAATGCGTTAGAGAATGGTTTAGGGTGAGGCGATGCTGCATTAAGGTACCTCTCGTGCGGTGGAGAGTAGAGCATGTAGTTTTATAATTATAAATCCAGAGTTCGGTTGCCCTGGTAGACTTGGTGTTTAGGGTCCACGTAGTATTGCCGTATCAGGATGTTTGTATGCTGGTGTTGGTGTTGTTATTTGCTTCAGGTTAGGGCATGGTGGAGGTCGGTCTACATGCTTATATGAGTTCATATTGTACGAACTATAGATAACTGAGAGATGGACTCATGCTATTGACTACACATAGATACTAATAAAGGAAGTCAGTGAATTGGAAGCTAGTATTGATGGTAACAGTATGATCGACTTACCCTGATATATACTACTAGGTACTACCACAAGTAGTGGAGAGCATGATATAGTATATATATATTACCTCAAGTAGGAATGCCCCAATAGTGCTACTAGCACTAGTCAATGTGTGTAGTGACCGCTTACTTGCAACTATCTACGGTCTTTAATCAGGCAAAGATTACAGGATTTCTTTTGCATTGAACAGGTGGCTATCTAATCACAGTAATGAAGCTAGTGACCTTGTAGATACAACCCGATGCTCTAGATGCTCATATTTCATGTTACACAAACACCAAATGCGAGATGCAGCTTCACGTGGAACAAATTGGCGAGCCGGTCCAGGCAGCAAGGCCGCCACGTGCCCCGGGAAAGAGGCATCATCCGAGCTTCCTCCTGCAACTTCCCCAGCAACCTCTCAACCGCAATGATCTACGCACCAAACAACACACAATACCCCCGAAGGTAGTGCCTCGAACGTCGCATACCTACGTTTCCGATGCATGTTGACCCGGGATGGCTTCCCGACTATAGTGCAACAATGCTCCTCACCGTAGGATGGATGCCGTCCTCGTCACCTGTTTCAGACCCATCGACTAACCATACCAGCTTCAAGGGCTTCCTAATAGCTAACAAGGAACTAGGAACCTATAGTAGGCACTTCCAAGGGACTAGACCCAGCTGCTCAGATTACAGAGGAGGCAAGATGCCTAGAAACAAAATTGGAATTCGGAGATTAACAGGGATTCATTGGACACCCCTTGCTGGCTCTGAGTCCTGGGGAGGAAACTTCCGTTGCCACTTACAATCCGTAGTTGGGGTGGCTTGAGAGAAAGATCTTCTGTCAGGAATCCCTTGCAGAGGAGCACATACCATTGCATATGCTCTGTGAGCTTACGAGTGTTCTTGCAGTCACTTGCATACCGCACGAGCTGTGAGGTGGGACAACATTGCACAGGCCTAGTCATAGCACGGTGGCTAGGTGTGCCAATTAAGATGAAGCTATATGGGAAGAAGCGAGATTGGGCACTTTGTGGCGCATCAAAGAGTAAATCTTGGACGAGGGATACCTAGTATGGCTGTGGAATCAACTCCCAGCCATACAAACATGAGCTTGAATCGCCGAAAAGGCTAGCTGCCCGAGGCGCATACATGAGGATCTGCAGGGAAAGCGAGGAGGAATGAGACCTTGGCTGGCCTGCAATGCACCCCAGTCATGCTATCTCACGGTATGCGGAAACAGCATTGATGCCGGGCATGCACGACTTGGACCAGGGGGTCGATCCATGCCAACTGCTTAGGGAGTCCGACTCTGTTGAGCTACGATGACAGCTATTGGGGCATAGGAGGTCAGGAACGAGAAGGGATGTCCTTGCATCTCGCATTCCACAAGGGGAAGCAGGTCGAGTGTGTGTATGTGCGGATGGATGGCTTCCGCAGGCACAACACTCATCTTACAGCGTCTTGGCTAGGAGCTCGAGGCCTCCACCGAAATCTATATAAGGGTGTTCAAAGTCGCCCGGAAATCGATTCTCTTCATCAGCATCAATCACATTCGTTGATTAGCCTTCTTTCTCTCTCTTACAGTCCAGTCTTTCCAGACAAGCGCTCTTTTACAAGCAACTCCGAGTTTCAACTCTCGTTCAATTCCAAACCCACCGTCACAATGAAGTTCTCCATCACTGCTGCTGTTCTTGCTTTCGCTGCCACCGTCGTCGCCATGCCCGGTGGTTCTCCTTCCTCCGTGGATGACAACGGCCCTGGCAACGCCAACGGTGCTGGCAACAAGGGCAACAGCGACGTTCGCTTCCCCGTCCCCGGCGACATGACTGTCAAGCAGGCCGAAGACAAGTGCGGTGACCAGGCTCAGCTGTCCTGCTGCAACAAGGCCACCTACGCTGGTGACAGCACCAACGTTGACAGCGGTCTCCTCGCTGGTACCCTGTCCAACCTCATTGGTACTGGATCCGGCTCCGAGGGTCTTGGTCTCTTCCAGGAGTGCTCCAAGCTCCCTATCCAGAGTAAGTCTTTCACAACAATAACATCAATCACCAAAGCTAATGATCATAGTCCCCATCATCGGGATCGCCGTCCAGGACATCATCAGCAAGCAGTGCCAGCAGAACATTGCTTGCTGCCAGTCGTCTCCCGCTACCACCGTGAGTATTTCCAAATACCATCTACATCATCACAGGCTAACTGGAATAGGACGACGACCTCATCGGCCTTGGTCTTCCCTGCATTGCCCTCGGCTCCCTCGTTTAAGCTGCTTTTGGGCGAGCTTATGCTTGGGCTTGGCTACGCTTCTCAACGGAATCGTTTGTGGTTGGACCTTGGATTTAGTACTTGGCCTTCGGGCCCGAGAAACATCATGGTCTGACCGTGTGCGAGAAACTTGGTGGCGTGTGGCACCTCGGAGAAAGACTGTTCTGTTTGTTTGTACTGCATTTCGTGCATTTGCCGGTGCTTTTGGGCGCTGGTCTCGTTGCATAGAAACTTAATTGCATTAGACTCTGTCTATATTCTTTCCAGTGCTTCCACAGTAACCAGTAACCTTGTAGAACATTTACCACCAACAATAGTAGAACTTAGTAACAATTATCTGCTAATTCCTTAATCCGACCTGACCACAACAGTCGAATTACTTAGTTCACAAAAGCAATACCTTCACAAACGAACTGTAGACATCCTGCGATATTCCATAAACTTATGCCAGCCAAAATGCGAAGCATAATCTTCCCTTGGCATATAGTGTCCAAATTATAGTAAACCGGCAACCAACAGATATATACCGGTTACATAATACCGGCGCGGAGTAATCTCAATAACACTGGCCTCCTCCAGCCACAAATATGAGTCTCATCCTGCTGCCCGCTTGAGTGCTATTCAGCTATGTTCAACACGTATGATACCCCCTGAGTAGGTGGTGGGTGGAATGCTTCATCTATCTCTTTGCAACTATCAACTCACAACTCACTCACCCTGTCTTAGACAGCCACATAATACTTAGATTGATTATTTCTCTACTTGCTTGTCTCTTTCTCCTCCCTCAAGTGGAGATAGAACATGGCGAGAGGTACAGAACCTCGTGTCATACATGAATAGGTGTTTACTTTCACCAGAACCTAATACTGTCTCTATTTACTAACTAAAATTATAAATGTGTTTCTTCAATAACATTATCATTATGCTCTGCATAGGTTAGTTATGTAGTGGGTTTGTATGTAAGCGTATGTATGATCCATCCCATCCATCCATCCATCCAATACCACGGTTCAGCATATCTTACACCATTATCACCGTTATCATAAATCCCTCCTCGTATCGTATCATCCTGAGAAGAGACAAAGAAAGGAAGTAAAAGAAGAAAGAAAGTAACCAGGCCGGTCAGGCTAGTAGTGATACACACATCCACTCCCATCGGATCCTCCTACCTCAGCTGCAGACAGCGTAGATAGTGGCATCCCACGGGATAGAACCATCTACTCCTCAAATAAGATAGAGAAAAAGAAAGAAACAAGAAGACAAGAAAAGAGAAGGTTAGAGAGAAAAACAAAGAAAATACAGAAGAAAAGAAAGAATCCCAATCAAAAGAAACAGTCAACCCTAGCCAAATCAGTCACAATCACCGCATCAAAAACAGACCTTAAAACACCCACGAAACCCTCCGATATGGACCATACACACCAACAAAATACAAGCCTTGAACCGGTACACCTAACTCCGTCGCTACTGAAAAAGAGTCTGGCTGTTGCGGTTAGTATTGTTGCTGTGCTTCTCCTCCGAATCACCGTCGTGAATACCGGCCCATTTGCACGGCAGGAGAGGGAAGACAGCGGTGCCCATTCGGCGTTGCTTCTTGGTAGGACTTGAGCTGAGGCTTCCCAAGCTAGTTCCTGGAGCAGGTGGCGCGGATGACGAGAGCTGGGCTGGGTCGGGGAGGGGTCTGCTGTTGGGTTTGAGGACGGGGGATTTGGGAGGAGGGGTGGGCGGGCGGATGGACGTGGAGGAGATGGATGAGACGTAGGAATGGTGTGGTGACTCGTTCGTAGGAGATGCTGCGCGAAGAGGGGATTTGGGAGGAATGGCGAATTTGAGGTTAGATAGTTTGGGGGCTGCGGCGACAGCTGCGGCGGTGGATTGGAGAAGGTTGAAAAGCTCGTTCATCGATTTGCGCTGGCTGAGACGCCAGGTTGAGGTGCGCTTGGTAGGCTTGGTGGTGGCAGTCTCCAAGTCGTGCTCTTCCTCTGTCTTTACTTTCTCGTCTGTCACACCAGCGTGGTTTATGTCCGCATCCTGCTTGTCCTCTTCTTCAACATCCTCGGGAATGTCCTCAATGATACGGCTCTTGATCTCTGGCAATTTGGCTGCTGCGCTGGGAGGCACGTCCATGCTGGCAGGACGAGGCTTTTTGTCTGGGCTGCGGGGAATGCGGCGGCTAGACAGCTCAAGATCAATGTCGTCTTTGCTTTTAGGCGACAGATGGGCTTTTGGAGGGAGAAGTTCTTCAGTCTGAGGCCCGACCTTCATGTCAATGACTCGAGAGGTCTTTTCAGAGCTGGAATCGACGTCAGTGTCATCGTCTGAGAGCGTGCCGGTCTGCTTCGCAGCGGTATCATCTTGGACGCCTCGTGGCTGCTTCTCATCCGGGTCGTCCAGCGTTGAGCATTCTGAGTCCGCAGGATTGACGAGACGGATGGACGGTGTCATCTGTGGGGTCTTGGTGACAGCATCTTGAGGTTGGTCTGGCAGAGCTGATAATTCCGTTGTTTCGTGGTGGTGCTTCTCGTGCTCATAGGCCGGGAAGGGCTCAGTAGGCTGCGCAAGTTCTGAGATACCTGCACATGTCCAAGAGGCATGGTAATCCTGCCGTCGCTGACGGCGGAGCTTCCGTGCCTGCAAGCAGGGTAGGAAAATGGAAGATAGGCACTTCATCTTGCGTGAACGCTGCATGAGGGATGAGTTGAGGATTGAGTTTGTCATGATGCTTGTGTTGTCAATTTATAGCGGCGTGAGCCGTGGTGATGTTGTTCTCGTCGTCGGGGCGATAGTAACAGTTGCTCCCGGCGATTGATGCGGGGGATTTTATTGAATCTTTGAGATTAAGGACGCGGGGGTCTGCCACTGGCACTGCAGTTCACGGTAGGTTCGTGGATCGTGATGGTTCAGGGCACATCAAGTGAGTTTGGCCGTGCGTGATGCTGATGATCGCACCTAATCTCCCACGGGATAGAGGATGTGAAGTGTAGATTGAACCTAGATTAGACTCTGTCCGCCAGCAAACTTCAGTAGGCACTTCGAGTCAACAAGCAAATAGTCCATCTCTGCAAGGAGTGACCAAAGGGAAGATTAGGACGCAAGGACGGCCATCCACATCTTCGTTCCTCTCGCACTTTGGAAGCCTCTGTGAGCATCCTCTGCTCGGCAATGGTCTGCAAACTCTGGTATAGAAGCTCGTATTGCTACAGTCTATTTCCATGCAAGCCATATGCGGATCCCAATATCTGAAGCCTCAGTGGCGGTAAGGACCAGTATTGGCGAAGTCAGGTTGCAGTGGGAGATGCATCCATTGTGACGCCAGCATATCCGGTGGGAGTCATTATGACCATGTGTAACCGCCACGAGAGTATTCTCGTTTGGACCAAGAAATGATCTGGTCATCGTGCAGCTCCGCATGTGTTCTTTCCCCAGAAGTACTTGTGTTTCCCTCGTTCATCCCTTGGTGGTGGAAATCTCCGCAAGGGATGGCTATTTATGCATTTGACGGGTCGCTACAGTCGTTGCCTTTACACAATCACTTCTATTCCTTGCTTAGTCTGTAATTAAATCACAAGTGTACGCTCCAATCATGTTACCGGGTATCGACTCCATCCACATCCTCTACAGCTTGCTGGGGATGGTTGCCGTGTGCAACGACCTGGAGCGGTCCAGCGCCTCGACGGCTTCCTTCTCAATCCGCTGAAGAAGCTCAGCGCAAGTCGGAATATCGTGGATCAGACCAATAACTTGACCGGCAGTCCAGACCTGTTTTCGTTAGCAAGTAGCCAGACCAATCGGAAGAGGAGTAACATACTCCATAGTCAATATCGCCATTCAAGAAAACCTCTCTGCCACGTTTGCCACTGACGAAGGGCGCGATGTCGCTGAACTCGCCCGACTTGCTTTCCTGCTCCACCTTCAGAGCCTCCTTGGCCACCTTGTTTCCATACAGGCGAGTGGTGTTCTTCCACCGTCTCATGACCAGAGCCGTCTGTGTCTCATCCGACTTGACAATTGCCTGCTTGACGTTGTTGTGAATGGGTGCTTCAATGGTGCACATGAACCGAGTACCCATGTTGATACCCTCGGCTCCGAGAGCCAGAGCAGCAGCCAGCCCCTGACCATCAGCAAATCCACCAGATGCAATAAACGGAGTCTTCAGCTCCTGTCGCGCGCGACTAAGGAGAATGAAGTTGGTGATGTCGGTTTCGCCGACGTGGCCAGCGCATTCGAATCCGTCGATGGACAGGAAGTCGACTCCCAGCTTCACCGCAGACTTGGCATGACGGATGGTCGTGCATTTGTGAAGAATGGTGGTATTGGCCTTCTTGAGTTTTTCAATCACTGGGCCTGGGTTATTTCCCGCTGTCTCGACAATCTTAATGCCTTCGTCGATCACCACCTGGGCATAGGCACCGTAGTCTGGGGGAACGAGAGCGGGGAGGAGGGTAATGTTGACGGCGAAGGGCTTCTTGGTCATGGTCTTGCACTTTCGGATCTCTTTGCGAAGGTCTTCTGGGGTTGGTTGAGTAAGGGCCGTGAGCTGAGCTGTTAGCATTCTGAATCCTCTGTTTCCCAGGCTTATCTCAAGACTATACGTACAATACCCAGTCCACCAGCGTTACTGACGGCAGCAGCAAGCTCTGCATAACCCACCCATTGCATACCTCCCTGTACGACCGGGACTGCACATTATCAGCAGGCTGTTAAGACCAATGTATAAGCCCTCCTACCTGAGATGCCCAGGGCTCTTGTCAGAGCAGTGTTGAAAGGCATGGTGTCGGTGCCTTGAATCTAGGGGTCGGGGCGGTAACTTTCTCGGCAGTTGACCAATAGAGGCGAACTGAGAAGACAAGAAGATTTGAATGAAACAGGCTCAGATGTATGATCTTATGCGTCTTTAATTCTACTTAAAGACGACAGACAGTAGTTGGAGACCAAATATGGGGAAGGCTAGGTAAACCCCCGTAAATAGTAATCAACGGTTTGCCGCGGCCGCTGCTGTGGGGAAGCCAGAGTTGCCGAGGTTCAAGCCAGAGGGTATCTGCGTCTGGACAATCTAGGAAGGGGAAGTGTTTGATGGCAGCACAGCAAAGAAAAAAGATTGAATCACCAACTGCTGGATATGTTGATTATCTCTTCAGTCTTCATGTAAGGTGTAAGGAAAGTTGTACTCCTTTGCTAGGTACCGGTGACTTCTTTGTCGCCTCCATTGCTGACCGGCTACATGCATGTGATGACGGGGAGATTCACAAGTCACACATTAGCTGAGAGGCGAGGGTGTGGCAGGAGACAATCTGAACTTCATTCTAAGATACCTCGCACACTGAAGCATAGCTTAAGCATGGCTTGGTAGAACAATTTGGGCCGATCTCTAGAGTAAATCGGAGCATTAGTCGTCTGTAAGAGAGTCAATTTCAATACTGCCGCCCGTTATCTTGATGCTCATCAAACTGGCCAATCAGAAGCAGGGAACTAACCCCAAATCAATAGCACGTGTCACTAGCCCTATGCCCTACCCGTGTGCCAAGATAGGTCTAGCGCAGAGGATGTTCTGCATGGAAGAGGAAAGTGACGCCGCATTGAAAGCTTCAAGTCGAATGCTGCAGCTTTGCTTTTGCGCGGGGAATTGGCTCGCGTCGCTCATTTCATAGCCCGAAACAGCAGATTGCATACACAACCATGCCGTCGCCATTCCTTACCCCCGGCTCCCATTCGCGCCTTGATCAGCTCGCCCTCCTTCACCTCCGTCGCGACCAGGCCATTCCGACTGTCCTCCGCCTTCAAGATGACCAAGACGCTGGCTACAAAGAGGGCAAGGTCGAGACCACGCGATTCGGCTCCTTCCCCCACACCACTCTCGTTGACCAACCATGGGGAGCGCAAATCGGCGCCTCCAAAGTCGACACGGGATCGCGACGAGGCCGCGGACCCCAGAAGAAGAACCAAAAGCTCAAGCGGAAAGTAGACGAGATCGACTCGGCCACTCCTGTCGAGGGCGATAACACATCGTCTCCCAAGGCTGCTGTCGCTGCGTCCAGTGGTTTCCTCCACCTGGTTTACCCCACTCCCGAACTATGGACGACATCTCTTCCCCATCGCACTCAGGTCGTCTACACCCCGGACTACAGCTACATCCTCCACCGTCTGCGCGCTCGCCCCGGAAGCACCGTCATCGAAGCAGGAGCAGGCAGTGGATCTTTCACGCACGCGGCTGTTCGAGCGGCCTTCAACGGATACCCCACCGATGACTCGCCCGCGACGAAGAAGAGAAGACTCGGCAAGGTCTGCAGTTTCGAGTACCATGAGCAGCGCGCAGAGAAAGTGCGCCAGGAGCTACACGAACACGGTTTGGATGGACTAGTCGAAGTGACGCATCGCGATGTCTACAAGGACGGTTTCCTGCTCGGCGATCCCAAGACCGGCAAGTCTCCCAAGGCCAATGCAATCTTCCTGGACCTGCCTGCTCCCTGGCTTGCTCTGAAGCATCTGGTCCGCCACCCTGCCGACGGCGGAGAATCGCCGCTCGACCCCGACTCCCCGGTGTACCTCTGCACATTCTCGCCCTGCCTAGAGCAAGTCCAACGAACCATCAGCACCCTCCGTCAGCTCTCCTGGCTCTCCATATCCATGGTGGAGGTAAACCACCACCGCATCGAAGTGAAGCGGGAAAAGACTGGTCTGGAGTACGAGCGCGTCCGCGGCGCAGTAGTCTTCCCGAAGGACGTCGACGAGGCAGTCACCAAGATGCGCCAAGTCGAAGAACATTCCCGGAAATATCGTGAGATGATGCACCAGCTAGACGACGAGGAGAACGGCACGCCTGCGGCCAAGCCCGAGATCAAGAAAGAGCAAGAAGCTAAGACCGAAGAAGAGGAAACCTCCGCCCAACAACCCACCTCGACTATTCCACCTTACAAGCAAGGCCGCTTGGTCCACCGCTCCGAGCAGGACCTGAAAACGCACACATCCTACTTGGTATTCGCTGTTCTTCCACGTGACTGGACCGAAGAAGACGAGCAGAAATGTCGCGAGAAATGGCCTTCGCATCAAGTCGACTTGACTCAGCCGGAGAAGCCTAAGGGGAGAAAACAGCTCAAGAGGGAGCGGAAGGAGCGGGAAGAGGAGGAGCAGAAGAAGCAACAGCAACAACCACAAGGGGAATTGACAGCACCCGTAGCACAAGAGCAATCAGCTGCCCCTGTGCAGGCTGAGTAGAGCTTATTACGTTATTTTGTAATTTGAGTTAGATTAGATAAAAGTATTACTTAGCGTGTTCAGGATAAATACTACATCACTTTGTACTCCACTTCTTACCTTCTCTACTATTTGCATGCAATAGAGATATAAACATGAAGTTCGACAGTCCAATAGTACTGGGGGTGCTCAATTGTCTCGTGTCGATGGGAGGCCGGAACATGACAGGACTTAACTAGTACGAATTTATTCGGCCAATAGGTCAACATATACGTAGTATCCAAGATAGAAGGGTATGCGTCGATTGATTTTCTTTTCATTGGCAGTAACTGTCAGGTAGGCAGAAATGGTAGGTAGGTAGGTAGGTAGGTATAAGTCTATATATGTACAAAAATAGTATGTGCGCAAGAAGATCGAAGATATGACGAATGCACGTGCAAAAGCATAGATGATGACCTCATAAGCAGAATGGGTTGTGGAATGAATAAAGCCACGCGGGGATGCATGCATGGGTCAGAAAGTCGCAAAGATGAAGATTTGAATAGAATGGCGAGTTAGGGTGGCGTAGCAAAACGACGTGGCATGATAATCGAGAAAGGAGTCGAAGGAAAAGAGTAGGGATGGATCATGGAAGTCTCTAAAGGTTGTTTTCCTTCTTGAACTTGTCCCATGCATCGTTTAGAGCGCCGAATACGGCACCGGCGATCATGCGTTGCTCGGTGGTGGCGTTTGTGGGGATCTGGTTGATGATGGGTTAGACAGTCAAGCCTCTTACATATCTTGGTGATGGAGGGCAATAATGCATACCTTGTCCGGGTGTACCTTGGAAATTCCCTTCATGTACTGAATCTTCACCTTGTTGGGGATGATCAGTTCGGACATGTTGACCTTCTTCCACCCGGCTTCCGGCCAGAGGACGGTATCCAAGCTGCCCAACAGGGCTCGCAGGTTGTCTTGTTTCCCATTCTTCCACGCTGCCAATCGTGCATCTACACTTTCGGAGAGCGCGAACTTCTCTTCATCTGCACGCTCTGCTGCTTGGTTGGCCTCCCGCAGGCGGTTGACCGCCTCGAAAGAAGTGCCAGATGACGAGCCCTGAATATCACCTAGAGCAGAGGCCTTCTTCGGAGCGGGGGCAGGAGGACGTCTTGCAGGGGCTGCTGGTTTCGGGGCGGGTTTGTTGATACCGGCCGCTTTCTCGCATCGGTTGCGGCCCTGGATACTGGTGCTGCCCCCATGGCCATTCTCCACGGCCAACTTCCACGCCTGAGCGGCGTCCGCCCATCGCTCCAATTGCTCCAGGGCTTCGGCCTTACGCATCAATGCCTTGCCGAAGAAATCCTTCATTGGCTTAGTGGGCTCTCCATTGAGGAGGTCGATGCTCTCGCCTTCTCCCTTCAAAGGACCGATGACCTCCAGCATAGTGTCCGCATCGCTGATTGCCGCCTTGGGATCGCCAGTTTTCAGCGCAGTCATGGCGCGATTGCTGCGAATAATGATCGTGATAGGGTGCTTGTTTGGCAGCGGTGTGAGTGCCGCTGTAAAAGCCTCGTGTGCAGCGGCGTAGTCGCCCCTCTTATAGGCCTCGGCTGCTAGTTCACGCTGCCGATGCAAAGAGGAGAGGACGTCTTGAGCGACTGGCGGAACAGCACGGGGCGGAGCCTTGGGCCTTGAAGGTAAAGCGGTGGATGGTGTTGGTCTCCTTGGTGGTTGTGCTGGTGCAGGTGAGGGCTTCGGCCGCTGGACAGGCGCTGGCGCAGAACTCTCAAACAAGTCGACATTAGGTTCCGCGGCAGGCAATGGGGCAACGGGGCGTTTTCTTCGCGCAGGACTGACATATGCTTGCGCTGACTGTTCCTCCAAAGCTGTTTTCGTTAACCGGGATCTAGGGTCTCTAGTCTCCGCTCTTGGCTGCTGTTGCATAAAGGCGGGTTGTTGCATACGCCGCTCGCTAGCTGGAGACGGCTGGTGTCTAGCACCATTGCTGCTTGGACGAGATGAAGGCCCGTCGGCGGACCGCATAGCATTGCGAGACGGACGAGGAGGACCGCCTGACTCTAACAGGAGCGCCTCGTCTGTCATTAATTCAGGTCGGGCTTGGGGCTGACTAGCAACGTGAGAACGATCACGGGACGGGGGCTCTTCATGCGAAGCGGCATCTCTCAACCAGCGAGGTTGGTTTGAATCGTGATCAGCATTGAGCTCCTGTACCACTTGCTGCATTTTCTTGCTGCCAGTCTTCCACAGAGAGTTCGCTGTCTTGAGCAGGTTGTTTCCGAATGTCGCCGCAAGCTGTGACGGATCCTTCTCTGCCGGCGAAGAGGTTCGATTATTGCTGCGTGACCGCTCCTGCTGCATCCATGAAGGTACGTCACGCCCAGACCTTTCACTGCGATCGCGACTTCTGCTCGGTTGCCCGGTGAACCGTTCATCCGGAGTTGGTCGATTTTTCGACTTTTGGCGTGATTCTTCATGCGCTTGGGTGAGAAGTAAGCTAACAGCAGCCTGGACATCAGTGCCGGATTGTGTCATTCGTAGAGCCTGACTGGATTTGTCTGCAGGGAAGCCCATATCAACAAGCTCTGCAATTGCCCGATCCACTCCATTAGACGGCCTAGGGGGCGGCGAGTTGTTTTCTCTTTCAACGGGGGTAGGTGATTTCGCAGCAGGAGGCTCTGGTCGGGGGATTTCAGATACAGGCTTGCCCAGCAAGCCAAGAAAGTCATCGTCATCATCAGCCTGCGCGGGCCGTGGAGGTTGTGCGGGCTTGGACTTCAGCTGGTTAAGGCCGAAGGGGTCATCGTCATCAGGAAAAGACATCGGGTCGGTTTGCTGCGGCAGACCTTCATTGCTTGGTGTTGCCTGCACCGAGCTTAATTGTTGCGGCGAAGGACTGGGGCTAGGCACCGGAAAGTTCGTCGATGCGTCTACTGGCGCAGACGCATTGAAGGCGGCCAGGAGGTCGTCCTCGTCGGTCGATGTGACACTCTGCTGAGCAGGAGTACCAGAAGTGGGAAACCCGTTATTACTCCTGCCCTTTTCTAAGCTATCCCAGAAATGAGTGTTTTGCCCTCCATATTGCGATTCGAAACGCGATCTGTTCTCCGCCTCCTTTCTAGCTCTCTCCTGCTCTAGCTTCTTCTGCTGCTCGAGTAATGTAAGATTCTTGTTGGCATTGGATGAGTTGAAGGAGACAAGGTTTGCAAAGCTGTCCTTGTCCGGCGTTGCGGACTTTGAAGGAGCATTGGATGGGCCAGAGGAGCCAGAGAGGGGCGTGGAACGGCCAGAAGTATCACTCTGCCTAAATGTCGGGAATAATAGGCCTGTGTTCATCGGCGGGGGTTTGCGAGTATCATTCGATGAGCTGGAGGTCCAGCTCAGACCGTTTAGGTCGTCCATTGTGATTATAGTGGTGTAAAATGTATTAGTGGGGTATGGTCTGGAGGGATCGTATTAGGATTGAAGCCGTATGCGGAGGATGTGAGGATGCCATGATCTAGATTAGCTCACCATCAACGGTCACCGGGCAGCGGAGTGAGTGGATCCAGTCGGGGGATTGAGGATTGAATTCACAGAAGATGCGGCTTAATTGCAGTATGAGGAGATGCCCTTCAAAGGATCATTCTGCCAACTAGCAAAAGTCAAAGGGGGATTGATGAGCCCGCCAACTGTTGTTTCATCAGTCGGCACTACTTGTTCCCCTAAAGATGGAAGGCCGCGACCGTCGCGGTGGCTGAGGACTGCTGATGGGGCATAAGATGTGGCGGTGCATTTCAACACGTGAGAGGCTGAGGGGAGTAAGGCACGTGCACCAAGCCCCCTGTAGCTGAGTCATCCTTTCGGACGACAAAATGACTGGAACCTGTCCTTTTGGCCTTGCCTGGCAGCCTAACAAAACTTAGTACAACGTAGATAGTATCTGGGTCGGGCTCAGTTATCCACCGCACAGTGGACCCAAATCTAGACTGTTAACCTGATGTGATTACTATCATCCCAGCCCTCGGCGGCCGAATGGATGGACGATGCGCATCTCCAAGCTGGCCTGTGAGCACTAGACTAGTACTTTTGAAGATTGGATGGCACACCAGTCCTTGAAGACAAGGCACTACGGATGTCTCACAGTGCTATTGTAGCCAAGCAATGTGGTGTGGTCTTAATGCTCAAGGCAGATGAATTACAGTGGGTAAATTCGACGATTTAGCTTTCAAGCTCGAGTCTCTTGCTAGCTAGTCATTACTTTTGCCTCTGCCTCCTCGCTTCTCTTGACGCCCCGTCTACAGGCTGTAGATCGGCTGGCTCCTGTGGGCACCAATGTCAGTCAGCTTTGCACACGGATCCATACTGGATACGCGGCAATTCTCTATGGGGATGTGGACACGATGGCCAGTGATTACTGCGTAGCGACCACTAACCGCACAGGAAGTTTTTAGGCTTCCGAGGTTTGTCCATGGTAGTGACTGGACCGGGCGCTCTGGGAGAATGGGGCCCGGTGGCTCTTCGGAGGGTGGCTGCCAACGACGAAATTGAAAGGCGAGACTTCTCAGTGCTAAGCGAGCGGTACGGAGAATCGAGGCTCAAGAATGGTAGCTAGATGCGAGTAAGGAAACTCCGAAGGATGATGGGCCTGACAATCTGAAGAGCAGTTTCATGATAATTAGTTGCTACTTCCAGGGAATGGTGTAAACAGACCAAGGTCATCCTAGGCCCCGCACCGGAAAACAGGTCCTTGACAGAGCCTTTATCTTTGTAAAAAAGAAAAACTTTCGCGGGTGATATCGAAAGGGTTCCTACAGTAGTGGGATCAGGGCAGCCACGGTGTTCACCAATTGGCGAAACAATTAGTTACTTTACGGCAACCAGCCATGTCAGCACTCAACAAGCGTCTAGGAATCGCCGACGGGATGAAATCCATTTCCCACTACCAATCGTTGTGGATGACAGCGGGGGCCTGACAGGGATGCGCGATAGCGTTAAGGGAGCATCGGGAATTATTCCAATACCGACTAAGCGGGGTGGTCAGGACGGAACAGGCGATCATCATGTCTGACAGGAAGGAAAGACAGGTGGTCTTATTGTCTGAATTAGAGTCAGCCATCACTCGGGTATAGTAGTGGTCTCGCACAACATGACCTTGAGGCACATAATCCCCTCTGGTAATATGTTCCAGGAATCTCTGGGAAGACTAATCGACGACCATAACGAATGTTGCAAGTAGTGATACTAACCAACAGCTGTTGTTCATTGAGAGCAACGCACTCATGTAAACGCAAGAGGGGCCACACGGAATCTCCGCTGGATGTTAATGTTGGTGGCGGAAATTCGGGGGAAATGAATGGTGCGGTACTGGTAGGGCGGGTAGTCCGTAGGCAAAGATGACAAGATTAGTCGCACTAAGGAGTCATGTCAGTCGCTTCAACTAGCATCGGGTCTCTTACCAGTAGCCGCCGTTGAGATTACGGGCCAATTTGTTGGACCTCTGCAGACCCAATTGTAAGAGCTCGGATTTCTCCGGGTCTTTCTGTCTCCTGACGAAGTTAAACACTCGCGATGGATGAGTGTGATCTTGCTCTCTTCAGATGTGGTTATATCACAATGATCATGTTGTCAATGCCACGATTACGCCGCGAAATTAAAATACCCGGAACGTTAAACCTGAAACCCGGGCGACCCAGCAGTATGGCCAGGGCCGTGTTTTCCGCGTTAGCGGGTACGCCAGTGCATTGACATTTGTCATTTTTGGAGGGGAAGGTGGGAGGGGCTTGCAGCAACTGTGCATATCGACTAATACAAGGGTTTTCGTTCCTATCCTCCCAAAAGTACAGGGTGCGCGGAGTCGTTCGGATATAATCTTTCCATATACACACAAGCTTCTCCAATTAGCACTATCAGTATCATACGATATTATTTCCCAGTACCGAGCAGTACTCTGAAAATGCCTATGGCTAGTAAGCACACCTTGCCTATATCGGAGGAACCCCAAAGTTTGGCGACACTTCCCACTTACTGTATCCTAAGTTGGCATCAGTGCTTTCCTGAACGACACATGCAGCTCTCGCGATAATAAATCTCCTGTGCTCTGGATCCACTCCAATTGTGAAATGTAATATTCATTATCAATAGCAAGGCCATTGGGGGCCACAATGACCTGAATGGGACAGTCATAAGATCAGGTAATATACCTACAAGGCTTCGACTACTCTGGGGTTCGCCTAGCTGCAGAGTTCATCAACCAAAGAACCCCAGTACATGTGCCAGTCGCCAGCTGCTGTTCTTTGCCGTCTGAAACGGTAACAGTAACAGTAATTTTAAATGACGCCACGGTATATACCATACCTTAGTATAAGGGCAATCTTACACAAGCCAGACACGGTCGCTCTTGACAACATCCTCTACTGAATGACCGCAGATGCGCGACACCCGGGGATACGGAGGCCTTTGGAGGGGCAAGAAGCCGAACTTTAAGAGGATTCTTCCGGCTGAACTCAAATTACAAATGATGGTGTGAGCCACTTCTTCACGAGAGAGTACGATAAAAGATCGACTCGAAGGAATGTGAATATTCTGAGGAATTAACACTTGCAGTCCAATACTATTCATTTTTCTCACGCGACACCATGGCATGATCGACAATTCTATGCCTATATCCAGCACGCACCCAAGAGCTGTCAAAGGAGGTTTCTAGGCGGTAGGACTACTGTATTCTAAATAGTAGTAGCATGTAGATGATGTTTGTAGTTGGGCCCAGTCCATGTCTCATAGGAATGTTTCACCTGCTTTCTGAAAAGCTCCATAGATCTAAGAAGGTATTCAAACCGGCTGCTGCTTCATGTTCTGTAGGGTGTCCATCGACTGTGTAAAGGCATCCGAGCCCAGTCAGTCTTCTCCATCATCGGATTTCACTACCTACTGCTGTCAATGATCATCATCCCGCTCTGCACAATTCCATTAGGGTTGTCGGAAAGTGGGCTCAACACGAGCGCGAAGCTCAAGAAACATTATCCCGCCCTAGCGCCCTCGCATCCGACCAATGTGTTCTACAAAAGCAAAGATGACATGCGGGTACGTAGTAGCTATAAAAAAGCAACCTATAGGAATTGGGCTACAAAGCTCATCGGACATGGCCTATGTGAAAACGCTGTGTTGGTAAAACCAACCTGTTACGGACGACCTGGAGGTTTAGTATTTCCACACTGATGAAAAGTATCGCAGACCTGCGGCACTTCCTGGCCATGGTACCCTTTTGCGATCGTCTCCAACCCAGCTAATATTACATTCAGCACCTGACATGCTTCAGAGGAACTAGAAATTATTTTCCGTCAACTTATTCGCTACTAGTTCGAATATTCTGGTGTGGACGATCCTGCCGGATTGAGATCGACACGGCAATAGTTGCGTGCCCGCGTACGATTCAAACCAAGGTCCACTTGAACCATAAATGCGCGTATCGGCAACTTCCCTTCCTTTCGGGAGTCGCACACTTGATGGAAATAGGGTTGCCGATCTCACAAAGGGCCAATTCTTCGCATACTGCTGGCTCTGCTCTATTCTTGCACAATTGCGAATGCCGGATGTTGTGGGTGGTAGTAGGTGCCGAGACAAAGTCCGCCCAACCGCAGCACGATTGGCACTATTAGGTGATTTTCTACCTGGAGCATGATCGGCCTTCGGCTCGTGTTGGGATCTTCAGTTCTCTAGTTATGCACTATAGGGTCACCAACAGTCATAACGCCCCAGCTACAATCTGACTATCACATCTGTTGGAAAAGGCACGAGACGGTTATCTGACAGAAACAGTCATACTGTCATTGACCACTACCTTGTACATCTCATTAATTATTCAGTCTATATGCTTCACGACACCCAATTCCACTGTTGTGGCGCAGCAGTAAGTAGACTGACTATACTTTACTAACACTTTCCATATTTAGCACCTATACGTGGCAATGAACAATAAGCCAAATATAGCAATCACCAGGGCAATTGACAATGTGAAGACTATCTACACTCTAGTTTCAATCGCCTCTCCGTCTCTCTACGAATTTGCCACCGCCTGTGGATCGGGATTGCGTTAGCAAAGCAGAACGATATGGAGGCAAGGCTGCAGCAAAGGCTAGTTTCTCTGAAGTGAAACATAGACATGTACGTATAAGGTAGACTATGCCGCGGCTATAGTCAATATGGGGTGATAGTAGCTAGATAGACGCGGCATAAGCTCACCACCCCTGAAGTAAAAAGGAATCACGAGTCACACGCCATAAGATCGGAGATATTCCCCAGATAAGCGGGAGCATCGCACTATAGCAGCCAACATTGCGCCTGGGCAGTGACTATTGGCCCTGCACACCATTACCACGATTGTGCCGAGTATCAGTGCACTTCGATAGAAGATAGCTAGCTAGGAGTGGACATTGAAGAAGGTGGAGAGCTTGACTGATACCCGCTGCTGACCTAGGTCGCCAAGGGGAGGGGGGGGGGTTTGGCGCTCGGTCAATCATTCACAAATGTGGACGAGGTATATCCTATCTATCTACCTGGCGCCTTCATTAGCATTGATTCGAGTCATATCTTGGTTTCTCTTCCCCTCTATCTTTGGACTACAGGTGAAGGAGCCATGGTTCCATGGGAGGGACATGTCCCGATTCGGTGAAGTGCTGGAGGCGCAGAGTGACTAACAGCCTGCTAGATCCGCCGTGTCGGGGCGAGGAGAGGGAGGGAAAGCAAATGAACCTGGTACGTATAGCCTTGTGCGCAGGCTTGTCTGTGCTCCCCTGTACTCCTCTTTTTTCTTTTTTGGTCCTCGCTAATTTAACCTATTTTTCCATTGGTTCCATCGATCTGGACACAGCATCCCTTGGTCGGCCGTAGCACCGAGAAGGAAGTTGATGGGTGATGGAGTTTAGGGGGAGGTGCTAAAGTAGTCGTCGTCCAAGACCCGTTGGAACTGCTCCATTCTGGGAAATTTGCACTTTACCAGACACGGGGCCAGTTATGGGCTCCCTCCCCCACCATCACCGGGACCAGGTACCGGTCTGGTACCGTGCGGTACGTATGGTAATGCGCGCGTATGGATGGGTCGGGTTGGGTTTATCATGCATGCACCATCATGCACCTACATACTTAGGGCACATCAGACATTGACTAGTTAGATGTATCTATCTTCCACTCTTCCAACTGGTCTGATATTCTCTGACCTCATCACTGGCGTCGGGTTGATTGCGCCGCGGTCTGAATACTCCGCGGTAGTCTTGGTCCCTTGGCCCTGAGTTTGGCCCTTCTCCCCAAGGGACGGACGGACTGCCCTAACTACCTAGGCATGGGATGGTCGAACTCTGTAAGCCTATCTGTACCTTTTTTGGAATCATTTGCTTTAGAGCAATATGTTGCCAGTTATACATATTTACTATTGGCCCCATGTCGTTCTTCTGTCTCCTGTTACTTTGTACCTGACAGGGACTACTTACTTACTTTACTACCCAGTAAATACCAGGTACTGGTGGAAAGTTAAGTTCTTTTCAACCGACTACATTTCCAGTAGTGTTCACGACCGTGGGAACGGTAAACAATGGTACGAATCGGTTCCTATCAGAACGCTAAATCGGCCAACCCGCCATGCACCCTTTTTAACATCGAACTGGAGCCTTTCCGACAAGACCTCTGCCCCCCTCAAGCTCTCCACCTCCCGACTCCGAGGGCTCGACTAGTTCACTGGGTGTATGCTCCGTGAAGGTCCAGTGGCTACGGACCACTCCTTTTCGCTCCAATGATGTCTTGCTAGTTGGGCTACTAACTCCTAACCTTTCCTAACTCCTCCTAAGCTCACTCGGCCGCCCCGCCCCGTATTATTCCTGTTATTATTATTTCTCGTCCTTATTATTAGTATTATTTGTCCCTCCATGCTGTAAAGAAAAAAAAAGTTTTAAGCCCAAAGGAATTGAAAAGGCCCCAAAAAATTACAGAAGGTAGATAAAAAATAATAAAAATAATAAAACAAACAGAAAATTAAAAAAAGAGTCAGAAGAGTCAGACTAAAGAGTCAAAACCGAAAGTCACCACCCACCAAGGGCCTCTTCTCTTCTTTTTCTTCTTCGAGTCTCCCGCAACTGCCGCAGATCACCATCCTTTTATGTACCTTTTCCCCTCTGGTGTCCATTTTTCCGGTCTGCTTTCTTCTGGCACCAGGACCTCTCATCTGTCTTTTTTTTCTTCCTTCCCTTCCCTCCTCGAGTGTTCCACCTCACTGTCAATCCCCTGGCACGAACAAGTGTTCTTTCTTCCCCCTGAGTGCTAGGGAGCGTTTGTTGTGTTTCACCCTCCGTCTCTACTATTGACCCCTCCCCATCACCATGGGTCTTTTTAAGCGCAAAGACTCTAAGAACTCGATTCAAAGCGAGAAGGAGGATTTCGACTCGACCGTAACCGTCAACAGTGCTCGTACCTCCAATGCATCATTGAGATCGCCCGGTTATAAAGGAAGTGGGCTGCCTGCCTCCATCCCAGAACTACCCATTGCCAAACCACCTGATTCAGCCCTCGATCCAGCGGCCTACCTGCGGAGTATCCATGCTGTCCGTGAGCGCTGTAGCCTTGTTTTGAACAAGGCCAAGAGAAATAGACTCAACCACTTTGATGTGGATATGGGCAAATTCATGGCCACTGCATCTTACATTGTCTCCATTATCAAGGTACATTCTATATGCTGCAGCCATCTTGGCCAAAGGATTAGCCAGTCCCTTTATTCCCTCTCAGGCTTGCTAATCAAAGCTATCGTTTGCAGAGAGATTATGGCCCGGACTACGACTCCATTCCTCCTCATGGCCGTTGGCAACATTTCGACGTGGGTGGACGACCCCGCGTCAACCAATTGCTCCAGTCCTGGCCCAGTACCATTGATGCGCAGGAGCGCACCCGGCGATTGATCGACCTTTTCGTTGTTTCCGTCCTTCTCGATGCTGGTGCAGGTACCAGGTGGTCTTACAAGTCGAAGGAGTCCGGCAAGTTCTATTCGCGGAGCGAGGGTCTGGCCGTGGCAACCTTGGAAATGTTTAAGAGTGGTATGTTTAGCAGCGATCCGACGGAGCCTTGTCAAGTGGATGGGGCAGGCCTGAAGAAGATCACGGTCGAAGTACTCGCAAAGGGATTGCAACACTCCGAAACCAACCCCTTGGCGGGAATTGAAGGCCGAGCTGGTCTTCTGATCCGACTTTCCGAGGCCCTGAACAACCAAGATTTCTTTGGGGTAGATGCTAGGCCAGGCAACATGCTCGGTAAGGCTTTATTCGATGAAGGGTCGCTGGGATCTCGACTAACATAACATCGTTAGACTACCTCCTTTCTCATCCGTCTACACTTGCTTCGTCGGTTCCAATTGTGCCTATCACCACGCTCTGGAGTGTCCTTATGGATGGATTGTCTCCGATCTGGCCGCCGTCCCGCACACAGATTGATGGGCTATCTATCGGAGACGCCTGGCCGTGCTCCGATCTCCCCAAGTCTCCCCCTGCGAAACCCTGGGAGAGCATCGTCCCATTCCACAAGCTTACGCAGTGGCTGTGCTACTCTATCATGGTGCCCATGTCGAAGCTGATGAAGATCCATTTCGCCGGCAGTGAGCTGCTCACGGGTCTACCCGAATACCGGAACGGTGGTTTGCTGATTGACATGGGTCTGTTGACTCTGAAGGAACACGATTTGGAGCGGGGTATTGCCGCCTACAAGGAGAATGCGCAGATCAAGGGCCAACCCAACGTGGAAGTTGTACCACTGTTCTCCACGGATGACGACGTTGTCGTTGAATGGCGGGCTGTGACCGTTGGGTTCCTGGATGAGCTACTGGATGAAGTGAACGGTCAGCTTGGACTGACGGGAGACGATCAGTTGACCCTTGCACAAATGCTTGAGGCTGGATCCTGGAAGGTATGTGATCTTTTTATCCCTGCACTCATTGTTTTACGTGGGCAACATTTGCTGATGCAGAAGTAATAGGGTGGCCGTGAGATTGCCGAAGTGTCGAGACCCAACACGAAAGAACCACCGATCATGATCCGTTCCGATGGCACTGTTTTCTAATGATCGCATATCTGTTGATGTTTTGGATACCTGACACCGCCAGTCGACGCCCGTTCCACGGCTGGTGGTCGTGCTTACGACTTTGATGACCGGATGTTTATGCGTCTTACTACTTTCGTGCCCATCGCCTGTGGCTCCCCCTATTTTTTCTGTTCGTTTTGTACAAAGGTCTCTGCTGCGGCACCTGGCCGACTTTATACCTAATTTCTTCTGTAGGATCATCGTGAAGAGATGATCGTCTACCTTTCCTGTACACAGTTCCTTGGGCCCTTTTTACCTTCTTGCCTATATTTGGATGGAAATGTGATCATAAAAGTTTACCTGGCTGGGATTAGTCTTTCCGCCAGCAGTCTCAATCCTGACTATTATCCTTGGAAAAGGAATTATTATGGGGATAGTGTCTTTGCTAGTTTGATAATGTTTTGGTTCTAGTCAATCCACTATGGATGAAGTGGAGCCTGATGATTGGCAAACCCCCCTTCCGTGCAGAAAGTCTAATAACAATGGAGGCACATGGGAGGAATGTGGATGAACGCCACCTCCGCGGGACGAATTTCGAGGCAGGGGGAAGGAGGAGATGGATAGTTCGGTGAGAGGGACAATACATTACGCGCATCACTGACCGTGCACTCTGCATCCCATCCAACCTTCAATGTCAGCAGCCCTGGGTGGACCGTGCACTCTCCACGTGATGGGACCCCGGAATATTATTAATCCCGGGAAGAAGCTCATGCAATGACGCCCGGAAGGCTGGTCATCCGGCTGCTGCTGCTCCTTCTGTCCAACCAACCACCCTCGCCCATTCATTGCCTGTGGAGATCGTTACCTCCCTCGACTTGCAGGGTCCTACTGCATCCCATGGGCTGGAGGTATTTATGCGGATGCTAAATCCCACATCTCTTCACGGTTGCCATCCATCTGAACGATCACCAGCCCCGTAAAGTGCGGGGTACGGTTAACGGATAGCTCCGGGGAACTGCCACAATGGATATGCGCAAGAAGAAGAGAAAGGTCCTCTTGATGGGCAAAAGTGGATCTGGAAAATCGTCGATGCGCTCAATCATCTTCAGCAATTATGTTGCGAAAGATGTCCGACGCCTGGGTGCTACCATTGATGTCGAGCACAGCCATGTCAAGTTCATGGGAAACCTCACGCTGAACCTCTGGGATTGCGGAGGGTAAGTCGCAGTCTCAGGCAATTTCTCGAATCATTGCAGTGCCTAACCCAACATGCTCTTTTACCATAAACAGACAGGATGCATTCATGGAAACATATCTCGCGTCTCAGCGAGGGAACATCTTCTCCGACGTCGCGGTCCTGATCTACGTCTTCGACATTGAATCCCGCGAGGTCGAGCGCGATCTTGACACCTACAACGCCATCATCAACGCCCTGAAAGAATACAGTCCCAATGCCTATGTGTTCTGCCTTGTACATAAACTGGATCTCATCCAAGCCGAGCACCGCCAACGCATCTACGAAGAACGGTCCGCCTTGATTCGCAGTCGTTCGGAGCATTTCAGTATCGACACCTTTGGCAGTAGTATATGGGATCAATCGCTCTACAAAGCGTGGGCTGGCATTGTCCACAAGCTTATTCCAAACTTGACTGTCATCGAGCGCTTCCTGCAAGCCTTCTCCAAGCGAATTGATGCCGAAGAAGTCATCTTGTTCGAACGGTCAACCTTCCTCACTGTAACTTCCGTTTCCTCAGAAGTAGGCGACTTGAACCCCATCTATGATCGCCATGAACGACTCTCCAACATCATGAAAGCCTTCAAGCACTGTGCGGCGCGGAACACCCACACAACCCCTGCATCTGCCGGGTTCGTCGTCATGCATACGAAGACTCCGCAATTCAACGTCTTCCTCGGCCGCTTCACGGACAATACATACATTTTTCTGGTTGTACCGCCGGGCGAGGCAGCCTACAATTGCGCCGTTCTAAACACCATGCTAGCTCGAGAGGGCTTCTCCAAAGCCGCCGCTACCGGTCACGGGGACGGATTTCCCCTCCCTGCGGCTGAATCCCCGGACAACAGCAACGGGACCCATTGATTTGACTCCTCGACCGGCCGCCACCGGCCATCCCTCAAATCAGCCAAGCACTCCACCAAATACAAAAGGGAAAACGGTCCCGTACGCCTTATGACGAAAAAGAAACGCAAAACAGCATCTCACTTCACTGCAACCAACGAACCAGTTACCTATTGGCCAGCGTCGTTTACACGGCATTCAAACCTACGAAAGCTATGAGCAGAAGAAATGTGTGAGTAAGTACGTAATGCAAAACCAAAACAAATCTGTTTTATTCAAAGACAAAGATACCCTACTTAGCATGCATGGCATTCTATATGTATGTATACTGTTCTTTCTTCTTTCTCTCGCACTTTCAGACTCTCCATATCATATCGTATCATTACCATATCGATCTTCTCATCTGGAACCATACTTTTACTACTATTTGTAACATGCCGATTATGTTCCTGGTCCTTATGTTCCACGGCTGGTAAAAAAAAAGTTATTGTCTTCATTTCCTTATGACTGTCTCCACTCACTCACCTGCTCATTGATGTACTTGCTTCTCACAAAATTCTCAGTCCATATCTATTGGTTCTATATTACATGGTCATTGCGTGTGTATGTTGGGGGAAAAAAAAGGAAGATGATGAAGAAAGCGGGAAAAAAACAATGATGAAAGGGACCGTGCCATACATTTTATGATGATCGTGAAAACCGCGGAATTAAAAAATGCGATAAGTTATGAATGATATACAATACATGGACGGCAGTAACTCGAAAGTAATAACGCATTTGTGTTGAGTAACCGATTACTACTACTACTTCCATTAAACCAATTGGTTCGTTCCAGTCCTGTGATCTAGACATTAATAGTAGTACTCACTAAGTGCGTAGCGGTAAGGTAAGGCAATGGCGAGGTTTCTGTGGTATATCATGTCACGTTCACGTTGCCTGAGGCCAAGAGAGAACTACTACTTTTTGCAACATTCCTACTACTACTATTACTATCAAATTGCCCGATGTATCATGTGCCAGTGAACCAATCTGTACAAGGAGTACACTCCATCAATAGATAAATGATTCATCCATCCATGCTTGATGCGAAAAAATAAAAGGGGGGGAAGAAAGTATATCTATTGAATGAGAACTAGGGAAGAAAAGATATAGAAATAAAGAAAGAAGAAACGCTTTACATCATTGTACATCTGGCATGCGGACAGCAATGTCGCCTGATTGTGTTATATATCGCACCCATGGGAGGGAGGGGTATTGTAGCTGCATTCATCGGGTCATTCGTTAGCATTCATTCATGCATTCATTCAATTGCATTGTGCTTGTGTGACGAGACTGCTAATCCGACTGATGGTGGTGGTGGGGGAGTCACGAGAGCTGACATGGGGATATGAACATACCTTAGGTTCCGTGATCTTCAAGTACCGGACTTGGATACCGCTAGTAGTGAAGTAAGGGATTTCGAATTTGACGTTGATCGGCCGCTTTGCCTTGCCCTGCCCGGTTCCACCCATGCTACCTCCGAAACCACCGGTCATGCCACCACCGTGCTCGTCGTCGCCCTTTACGGACGGCAGACCCAGCTCTGCGCGCATGAGGAACTCCTTGCCTCCGCCGAACTGCTTGATCTTCCAGATGATGGCGGACTTCTCGGGCGCGTAGTGCACGGTTCCGATGTTGGTGCGGAAACGGGGTGAGTCGGCGTCTTCCGGGACTGGGACGAGAATTTCTACGTTGTTGGCAGTGCTGCGGCGCTTGAATTGGGCCTTGGCCTGTTCGGGTGAGATGGTGTTAGCTTGGTCATTTTGTTTCTCTTGAGTAGCAAAGGCGGGGTGTTGGCCGTACCTTCAACATGTACTCCATGCGTGATCCAGAGTGCGATTCCACCAGACATTCCACCCAAATCAGAGGCTTGACTTGGGTGTTCAACCGGTAGCTCATCAGCTCGAATTCGCCATCCGGGGGAATGAAGCTGATGGTGCGGTCATTCTCGAACCGAGAAAGACGGACACACTGGTGGAACTTGACGTCCTCCATCTCGACGGCCTTTCCCCTCGTTGCGCGACCCGTGGTCTCGAACATGACCTTGTCGTTCAAACCCAGACGGAGTTCCGGCATACCACTCAGATAACACTTCATCTTGATAGCTCCGAGAATCTCCGATCGCAACACGTTACCAGACGCGGACACGAGGAGGTTGAGGGACTCCACAACATCAAGGAAGACTTCGTTCTTGCGGTACCGGATACCCTCACTTCGCCATGACACGGCATTGGTGACAGCAATGGGTGGTCGGGCCTGGATCTCCAGCTTGTGTGATTCTTGGGTAATATATCTGCCATGGACTTGTCAGCTGTGATCCTTCACCGCTTATAGTCGCATAGACGGGCCCATCTTACTCTTGCAATATCTTGCTCTCCGTCGTCTGCGGGTAGCCAAAGTCCATCATCTCATCGAGCAATTCATAAATGATGACAAAGTTATCGCGGATACTCTCCTCCTCCAGTACCTTGAAGTATTCCGTGAATACCTCCACGATCTTGTGTAGGAAAAGGAGGATCTCGGTGGCATTGGTGTTCTTCTTAGTCAGGGCAAGAATGTAAAGGTTGCTGTGACGGATGTAGAGGTACTAGACAAGGTTATATTCTCAGCAATTGATCTCCATGATTCTGCGTTCCTTTCTGAGGATGCGCGCAGGGCTGATGTGGGAGATGGTAGACACAGCGGGTTGCGGGGAACGGCGGGGGGTAGATGCAGGTGCGCCGCCGCAGCCACAAGTCGGAGACACAAATACGTACGTTAATTCCTTCGTGGGAAAAGCACGGAGCCACGGCGGAGCTCTCTTCTTCGGCGTCACTGAGGAGGATGGGGAATTTCTCGACGGCGGACATGGGGATGTCTCCGCGGTAGTTTCGGGCTAGAAGGGTCTAAATAAACGGTCAGGTTCCAGGGGATCACGGCGGAATTGTTCGTGACAGCGCAACCTCCACGGGGGTTCATACCTTGCCCTTGAGATCGAGGAAGAAGATGGCCGACGCCATCGCGAGGGTATTCGAAGGGAGGTCGTGGGTGGGAAAGTAAGGTGGAGGTTAAATGGCGCGAGGATCGAGGAGGGTGAGTCGGGCAGTACTGGAGGACTAAATGGGCGGGAGGCTCCTGGGCGAGATTCAACGGGAGAGGCCAGCGAAACCACTAGTTCAACATGCTGGACTTGCGGGGAGGTAGCTGTGGACAGTGTGCATTAGAGATAGCTCAGAAGCACTTTCAACCTGGGGAATCTATAGAAACCAGAGCCGGTGAACTCACAGGAAGCTGCAGAAGGAGGAGGTCTTGGCCGACGTGCCTGCGATGAAGCTGGAATGGAACGAATATCATGCAAGACTAAGACAGACTTGAACTGATGATGCGGCCATCGGGGATGCTCTGCCTTCCCGCGTGGTATTGTTTCGTACACAATACACCGCCAGACAAAGAAGCTTGTGGCGGGGTAAGTTACCATAATCTGGTCACATTAGTGTATTAAGTGTATCAATGCCTCAGGGGTCTCTAATCAGAGCGCTAAACCTATTCGAGATATCCGGCCAGTCCAGATCTCCACTAGACCTGATGAAGCCTAGCGCTGGTCACGCGCGCAGAATATATTTCGGCCGTCGCAAGCGAATTCTCTTCCTCTTCTTTTCTTTTCTTTCTTTGTACCATACGCCCTTCCTAGACAGTGCAAGGCAGCTACAAATTGCTTTTTTGTGATTTCTGGGTTCTTCCGTGACATTCTGTCGCGGAGTTCCTGGTTTCTCATTGCTGACTTTGCGATACAAAGGTGCGAAGACTAGGCATCGTGTATTCGAGGGTTCCATAAGAGCTGGCCGGGTATTTTGCTTACTGTTACCCGGGCGGTGTCAGAGGAACCGTACATACTTTTGGTTATCTACTTTATTTGTTTAGAAAATTTGATAATGGCATGCCATGTGAACCAAATCCTGAAGATCCCATAACTCATACAAGTGTAGTAGATGTTAGAGAGAAGACAGAACTTCCGGTGGTATTTGCAGTCACTATATAAGACAAGTCGTAGATAAAAATACATAATATATGGCGGATGAAGAAAAGCCCCAACACATACACAGAACATCCAGGGCACAAAGAAAACAAGGGGAAGGGGAAAAGAGAAAAGGAAGTAACGCCTTGAAAATGCACCTGCGGCCATTTCCCATAAATCAATCACCCAACTCAAGCCGCGATCTTAAATCCCAGAGGTGCTAATATGCGCTCACGGGCCACCTTGTTCGCAACAGCATTGCCCTTCTCCAGGGAGATGGCACCGATCACAGCGTACATTGTGTGGGCGAGAACGAGGTCCATTCCAGAGCTTTCGAGGTTGTTGGGCTACACGTAAACACACCGCTGTTAGCAGGGGATTCAATTGACCGACTGGTGAGGCGATATCAGAAGCCCAGCAGCGCAAGGCGTTCGAATATCGTCTCAATGCATGGGACTCCTAGACTCACCTTCCGAGGGCACCATCTCACAACTCTCTGCATGTCATACTTGTGAGCCAATTCCGACAGCTTCGTCTTGCTCGTAAGGAAGCTCTTCGTGTTGTAGTCGAGGTTGTCCAGGCTATCCAAAGCCGGGTGAGTGAAGGGGACCCGGCCATACGCATCGGGGGTGGCAGAGTTAGCAGCGTTGCTAGGACTCTGGACCAGAGCCAACGAAGCCTGCAGCTGAACAATACGCTTGCCTGTGTACAACCCCATCCGGATTAGTATCAAATCCTGTTACCATTCATTGCACAGCAACATTTGACATACCCAGGAAGGCCAAACGGTCATTGAAACCTCTCCGGCCCTGATCAAAACTCTTGTGTGTCACTGCGAGCCACTTGGTCTCCTCCGAGAGCATCTTGTCACCGTCGTTTCCGAGCATGAGGATGTAAAACCGGTCCAGAACCTTGGGGTCAGAGTTCACAGGGAACTCGGGGCGGTTGGAGTTGAGTCTCAAGGAGAACGGCGCTTTGGCACGAGGCGGCGTGTACGACCACCGGGGCTTGTCCGCATGGTTGACTGCTGCATCTTCGGTGGCCGTCGAGAGTCCTCGCCGCGGAAGGAGACCGGCTGCGATCGAGTTGGGACGAGCGAGGGAGCGGCATGCGGAGCAGGAAGCGGTCCTGACCGCGCGAGTCGATAGTACGGAAGCCATTGGAGAGAGGAAGGGCCGGAATCCGGAGTGGTGGGTGAGAGGGAGGAGGTCGCCAGGCCGGGTCTTTTTCCACGATCGATGGCGGCCATCAATGATAATAATTCCTTTGGAGGAGGAAGAATTCGGAGACGTGGCGCTAGTCCCGATCGGGATAGTCGCTCAGTTCTCCGGCTCGCCCGCCAAATCTGTAGTTTCAAACAATAGATAGAGAGCCACCCTTTGAAACCAACCTCTACATCGGTTCATGAAAATTATTTCAGTACCATTAATTGTGTTTCAATGATCAGTACCTTTGCCTACCAGTTACTACTCGGAGCCTATCCCCAATCTATCCGGTGCGCTCGAGCCATCAACACCTTAGCCGTATGGATCTAGAACAAGAGCATCGCTTCACAAAACTTCAAGGAATTGGTGGTAATGTGTAGGCTAATTGTTGTACGAGAGGCCCATGCAACTACTGTATATATTGTTTGAGACCAACTATCAGTTGTCGGTGACGAATGTTGCAAGGAGACACGGAATCCATATATGCCACCAACTGCCAAACTTGACTCCCGCATTGACTTCCCCAAGAGCAACAGTATGCACTGTAAGGCAAAAAGGCAAGGATGCACCATAGTACCAAGTGAGCAAGACTGTTGGAGGACAGGCCGTGCCTCACGGGAAGCGCGCCAGCCTAAAGCATATTTGCCGTCTGGGCTCCCGTTGTACAGCTCGCGGGAACCAGCCAGAAAAGTACTAAATGACTAACAGTTTCCATAATGCTTCTATTCAGAAAGGAGCCGCTGATCTGTAGGTACCTGGCCATAACCTGCGGCGCGGGATTCTACACCGCAAAGTTGAGCGGCAACTAGTTTCCCTTCATATCCTTGTCAGCATGTATGACATGCAAGCACTGGAGACCCGGCCGATGGTACTTATGTGCAATTGTTGTAGCACTCGTGTCCCGCCATTCCCCGATTATTATGTGCATCATGTCGCTCAAAACTGTGGTATGTCTGAGCGTAGAATCAGCTCATGCTTCATTCGGCAGTTGTTCCATGAGCCCAGTCGGCACCGCAGTGTTGAAGAATGAGACTGTATTAGCGAAATCAGGACAGATGGTGACCATCTCATATTGCTTCAGTACCATAGTGGCATGTGAATATAAGATGGAATAAGATTGAGGTACGGATCACACCTCTGGAACTTGGTAGTGAGGGTCATCGCAAGCCGGCCATGTACCTTCCATGCCTTATCCTGTGCTCTTCGCATGGGATTAGGGCTGGAATTAGAACAAACACAGCAGTTCTTTCTTCATGCGAAATGGGGTTGAGGAACCCTTTGCTCTCGAATCTTTCCGAATAAGGTGGTTCAGACCCTTATGCTCACTCTTTTGAGGGACCTAGCCTGTTGCTGCGTTTAACCACAAGCCTTCTATTGTGTCTAGAGTGGCATTGTGCAAGGATAGTACGTGTCAATTGCGGCAAGACGCCAGTTACTAAGGCAATGCACTGTGCCTCAGTGCGTCGCTTTGCGGTCGTCGGCAGAAATACGTTGCGCATCCGATTCGACGCACTGCTTGCCGCGGGGAGGCAGTCCAATGCAGTCCCTGCAACAAACAGGGCTACTCCCCCGCTTTCCTGAATCTTCAACATTCTTGGAGTGGCACAAGGCTCAGAAATTAGTCCACGTGCTTACTGCAGTGTGCCTTGTATTCCACTTCCATAACCTGGACTCTTCCGTATCTTTGCTGGCTACCACTCCATTTCATTTGTTGACCGCTCGTTTAAGGATCTTTTGAGCTCGCCAGCCCCGGCTATCGTTCAAGATGGATTGGCTAGGAGTACCCAGAATGGCTAATGGGGAACGAGGGCAAAGTAGGAATGATCGAGGGGCAGGCGATACATGTAAACTGCACAATATCGGCACTTAGGTCCTGTTCGTTCTCAGTACACTGTCTTTATCAGCTGAGTAGTCCAGTGTGTTAGTAAATCTGCTTGGACGGATGGCCTCCGCGTTTGATCATTTGCACCAAACAATAGTATCCGTGGTCTCGGATATCAGCAGATAATGCTGCTTGGTTTTCACGGTGCAATATCAAACAACCATCCGTGATCTCCCAAGGTACTTGGAATCAGAGCGGCAATGAATAAACACTGTAGACGATGACGGATAAGATTACCCAACAGAGGATCGCGGTGATGAGATTCGGCGGGTGGCAGCTCCCGTTTAACAATTTAGTGGGGCACAGTATATCATGAAAGTCCGGGCATAGAAGTCCTGCATCCGTTATCGAATGTAGTGGACCGTGAAGTTTTAGTCTTCCGTACGCTCGGGGATTGCAGCCTGGAGTCTCCAGCCGTCGGGTAACCAGCAAGAAATATGTCTTCTGTGAGATCACGCTACGCACTAGAATTCGTCAGTTCGTGCTCAAGAAGGCAAAATATGGAGCAATTGGTCGAAACATACAACGTAGCGTACGCTGTTTAACATGACATACCACCAAACATCCGTCGGGCCCTTGCAGAAACGGCAAAAATCCCATCGAGATCCGGCGATAGCCATGAAGATCACCGTTAGACCATCGGAAGTGTCATATCCACGCGGTTACTCACTGTTGGTAGAACGTTGATCGGTATGGCGGTGTACAACTCAGAGGCATCCTTCGGACCCAGTGCTGGGTTCTGGGGCTAGTATTTAATGCGGGATGTTAGCCAACTCACACCAAGAGAAACAGCTCATATTCTACCCCGTTGTCATCTGCTCCTTCATTGATCTTGCGGCATATCACCAAATCCTTCATACTTAGAGTCACACAACTGCACCATCTTATACCTTTATCAGAACAGCCACTGCTAAGATTGTCTTGTCAATTGACCTCCATGTTTACTGAACGAAGATATTGCGTCATGTATCGCGCCCATTTCGATTTCATACTTGAGGACATTCCTCAGCCAATCTGGAGTAGCTGCGAGGATGTCGCACCAATTCCCTTTTCGGTGCATGATCCACCCTCGCCGGGCCCTATACCTCCTAATCCGCCCCCGAGCCCTGCATGATCATCGATTGTTCAAGACTGGTTCTTTTCGAAAGACAGCGCAAACTAGTAGAGAAGGTAAGTTTATAAGCAACAACCTTCCCCGCGATGCTGAATACGTTCTGACAAATCTGCAATAGAACGTGATGGGAGGGGAATGAAATTTGCAGTGCACCATTGAATCAAAACCTTGACATCATTAAAGTGCGAAGGCAAGAAAGGGAGAATATCCTTGAGACATGTCAACTGCCAGGCTCTCAAGCCAAAGTCATGGGGGAAACGGACATAGAGGCGTGGCGGGTTGCTTTTATTTTTGTCCTTTGATTTGAGGAGTTCACGGAGTAGAATGCACACTAGACAATGACACGGCCAGTTTCTGCATGGAAGCCATAACAGTCATGACCTAAAATTGCGTAGATCTCCAAGCTCGTGGCTTTAGGACATACCTATCGACAAGTACCTTCCGTGGAATCAAGGCCATCGCTCCGCCTTCCCCTCCAGGCGGTTGTAGGGGGTCACGGCTAAGGCATTAGTCTGTGTTTCAAATATCCCCTACATGCCGACAAATTTCACGGCTAGGACAGTGAGACGAAGCTCAGAGTTTGCGGTGAAAAATGTAAAGTTTAATCCAAAAACAGTCGTCAATTGACTGGTATAAAATATATTGCACGAAAACAATTTTAAAACACAACAGGAATCAGAGGTATGTCACAATAGTTCACAGGAAAGCAAGAATGAGAGCGCTAAGAGTACTCAGACCAACCACAGTCCAGCCGGACTTGATGACCTGGGGGTTGGTAAGACCAGCACCAGTATCCCAAATCAGGTGGCGCACTCCGTTCATGCAGTGGTAGGTGAAAGGCAGGGCCATGGTAGTCTTCAGGGCAACCTTGGCGACAACAGGGAGAGCGGCGAAAGCGGCGGCAGCGGAGGCAGAGCCCAGGTCCCAACCGAGCATGGGAGAGGCGAGGTAGGCAGAGGCATAGAGGTAGAGACTTCCGGACAGCGCAATACCGGTGATACGGTGGATACTACTGCCGATCCATGTGATCTGGGGACGGTAGATGCTAAGGTGGGGAGAGACGGGGCGGTTGAGACGCTGCTGGGCGAGGAGCTTGGTAGGGTCGGAGGAGTTGGAGGAGGTAGCAGCGTGTCTGCATGACAACGTTAGCAATCCATGTTCCGCCTCCACTTGGCGACATTCGCTTCATGACGTCGAATTCGATATCGCGAAACCCCTCCCAAGTCGAAAGTCGCATCTAAGTATCCCAATCACGCATAGTAGCTCACCTAGTCTGAACGGCTCTTCCGAGAGCAACAGCAGCCGGAGAGACCGAGTTCATCAAAGACCAACGCAGGGCGTAGGGCTGCTGGACGGCAACTGCAACATTGAGGTCAGTGTCGCGCGATTAGCTGAAGAGGATGAAGTAGGTACGTACGCCGCCGCAGCGATTGCTGAGCAACCTTCTGAGAGAGCATGATGAAATTGATAACCTCAAGAAATGGTGAGAGGCTGAATCGGGCACACGAAGCTGACCGTCGTCGTCGTAGTCGTCCAAGAAGAAAGTAGCCTCGAACTGCCGACTCGCTCGTAACGCTTCGGAATCACGGGACGGACAACCTCGGGTTCACCTCCCAGTCACGGGACTTCACCCGATGCCCCGAAATCAGCCAATGAGCAGCCCTGCATTACCACTCGGAAGATCCATCTTCCATCTCCTCACCGCCCGCTAGTTCCGGCTTTTCGACTTTTGTGTGTTTCTCCCGTCGCTTTCTCTTCCTCTTCTTTTTCTTCTCTCCCAAGGGTCTCCGCCCACGTTGTCTACCATTCGGGATGATGTCGACGTGCTTAGCAGGGCCTCACTGGTTCGGCATTCTGTCGTGACCGCCGAGGTCATATGAGATACCTGAGAAGGAGCTGTCCCGTCGTTAATCGCCCATTCTTCTCTATCCTATGAGATGGAAGGGTTTCATATCAGGGTTACATGATTCTAGGATTCGCTAAGAATTCGCGTAAAAATAGCATTTTAGGCCTCGTGTAGAGCAAGCATCGTAGCTGTCGCTGAGATTTGGGAAATCTTCCGCTTAGACGACGGGGTTCGATACTCCTGCTACTACACTGCTTGTTCAGTGACTGCTGCTGCCGTCTCGGCTCGATATTCGCAGCGATGCTTTGGCAAGTTAAACCTTTACCCTCTGTTTCCAATGCAGACATCCAAACATAATTGCGGTGTGGTGCGAGTGCAGAATAAGGCTTGCCAAACGAAAGCCCTGCAATTAGTGTGAAAGCTCATTTGATAAGCGAGAGAAGGCCAGTCAATAATTACTTGAAGGCCATAGGGTGCTCAGCAGGCCTATCTATAAGCTCATCACAGCAATCCGCAAATTTCATTACTTCGTTCAATATACAGAAATTCTCAGTCCCATGATTGAAATAATGACAGCGCTACTAGTACTAACCTGTGAAACCTATCAAATGTCTTCACAACGGGGCCTGATGTACACACCGGTAGTAGCTACTAGAGGTGTCTATATATATCAACTACTGGGGAAATGAATCATACTGCAAAGAAGAGGTACTATTTTTTGGATCTGCATCAACATGATAGCAGTTGATCTCATTGTACTCGTACGAGCCTTCTCCCCATAGTCATAGTCGATGCTCGTCTCATTAAACTGGACTTCCAGACACTATCCATAACTAAACCCCAAGTAGCATGCAAGAAGTCTTCTTAAAGCCGGGGCAAGTGCGGGGAGACTCCCGCAGCAATACTAGTGATCGTGGCACACTAAACTCTGATAACCACAACTAGTCTACAACTCTACATTGCAATGCAGGCCATTGTTCGGGGCATTAACGATATTGGTCATCAAGATCTCATGCTCTAGGAACTATTGGGGTGTTGTATGGACAAGAAGAATTGCGAGTTGTGCTCCTACGGTTGTCAACTAGTATATCTACAGACAGTAAGCTACAGCCGACCACCACCAAATTGCAAGTACTCCTGGCGATCGATATGCTCGCAAATCATGTAGTGCTGGACTACACCTTAAACTCATTACCTGTGTACCTTCCATGGCACTTGGCTGACAACTGTCGATCAATATGTCTATCCCGGAGCTTAACCTCGCCTTACTCAACATGACAGGAGGCTAGTCAGTGATGCATCCTACGGACATGCTCCGTAGACATCGGTATTCTCTCCCGACCAACCCTCCGACCAAGAAGGTCGGAGAAAAGAGACTCTCGGCCCGAAAGCGTCCATGGAATCAATAGTATAAAGATATTACTATTTAGGCTAAATATAGGACATGGCATGAGGGGAGGTTTACGAGGCATGCTTATCTGATCTTCCCCTCCTCTCCTCCATGCTCAACCCATCTACTTCGTATTCCAATAGATCATTTCAACTCTCCAATACCAAGATATCATACCTTCATCATCCGAATCACCAGTCCATAATCCACCATCAGTACAGCGACCACCATGACTATCCAAACTGGACTCGACTACATCCGCTCTCGCTCCATTGTCGACTGCGACACCATGGACGAGCAAGGCACGTACTTAGTTCCATGCACCTCTTATCATCTACTAACATACAAGCACAGTTGCCAAAACCCTTGGTCCTTTCCACGACTGCACCTCCAACCAGGTATACACCTACAACCCATTCTACTTTCCGTATCGTTACCACCCAGCTAACATCACCACAGGCAATAGCGTACAACGAACTCACCAAGCCCGAACATGCCGAGCTTCTCCAATCCTCTCTCACCAAAGCCAAAGCTCTCATCCACGAATACCCCGGTCTAACCATCGAAGAACTCGCCATCGAGATAGCAGTGCGTACACCTTCCCTTCTCCCTCCCGACACCATCAACTCACCACAACGACTATATATAACTTGACCTAGATGATATCCCTCTCCCTAAGAATCGCTCCCCACATAACCGGTCACATCCACATCCAAACCAACCCCTACTATTCCTACTCCACCGAAAAGACCATCGTCAACGCCCTCCGTACGTCCATCCATCCATCCATCCCCTCTACATACACACAACAGAACAACTGAACCACCACTAACCCCACCCCCCCAAACCAATAAAACAGGCATAGTCAAACTAACCCACCACCTATCCCCCACCCACCCCCAATCCCGCATCTGCATCAAAATCCCCAGCACCTGGGAAGGTCTCAAAGCATGCCAAGTCCTCGAACAAGCCGGGGTACGAACCCTCGCCACCACCCTCTTCACCATGCCTCAAGCCATCCTAGCAGCAGAAGTAGGATGCACGTACATAGCACCATACGTGAACCAACTGCGAGTGCATTTTGAGCCGGGGTAGATATCACCCTCCCTATTAACCCCCCACTCCCCCCATAAACCCACACAACTTATATTCAGTAGTACTAAGTAAAAACTTACAGCTTCAAAGACCCCTCCCCCCTCCTACACTTCAGCGCCCTAGTCCAGAAATACTACGCCTCCATCGGATCCCAAACACAGGTATTACCCGCTAGTTTGACGTCCACGAACGAGATCTTCGCCTTGGCGGGCGTGCAGCATATTACGATTGCTCCTGGGTTGTTGGAGGAGTTGGCGAAGCCGTTGTTGGAGGGGAAAGTACCGGTAGAATCGTTGTTTGAGTCTCCTGCTGTGGTGGAGGGGGCTGTGCCTGGGAAGGAAGTGTCGTATGTGGGTGATGAGGCGGGGTATCGGATTGCGTTTACGAGGGATGCGAATGGGTTGAGTGAGGAGAAGTTGACTCAGGTGAGTTTGGTCATATTTTTCATTGTTTGGTTTGGTTGGGTTGTTGATGATGTTGATGCTAATGGGGTTGTACTACTCACTGTCTAGGCTGTGAATATTTTCTGTGATATGCAGGATAAGTTGGTTCAGGTATTCAAGGGCTTGAATTGAATAAGAGGTGGCAGTGAGATACTACTATCTCCTAGCTATGTATACCATTGAGATAGGTTGATAGGATACTCTACAATCAATCAGACCAAACATACATCTATCTATCCCAATAACCTTTGTTCTCTTCTACCTACCTATCTACCTACCTACTTCCACCACACCACCCCCTCACCCGCTTTTTAACCAACCAAATCAATCGAACCAACTTTCTAGGTACTTAATAACGATCTAGCCAGCCCACCAACCAACCAACCAGCAACCCACCCTCAAAAAAAGCAATGGAGAGCAAGCAAAGCAAAGCAGCATACAGGCACGCAAACGGACTTGGGAGTCTGGGTCTGAAAACGCCTGCTCATGCAATATAAAATGCCATGCCAAATTGGATATAGGAAAAGGGGCAAGAAGAGGAAAAAGAAACACTATATACCTTTTTTTTTTAATCATCCTTAATTCCGAAACAGACAAAGGCCGCATACAAATAGTTTCAAGCAGAATGGAAAGCAGACAGATGGACATATGAATAGTGAGATAGAGGACAGGAGTTATGTGTGTGTGGGTGTCGGCGATAAGAGCTTCAGTGTGTGTGTGGGTGAATGTTTTGTAAATGGTCACATGAGAACATCAGTCATCAAACCAAACCGTGGGGGAATCTAGGACTGAAACAAATGATCGGATGGGTAAAACAAATGAAAATGTTAAGATGAGATAAAAAGACCACAACATCATGCGCTCAATCGCTGGATAAAGGACTGTCGAGGACGTCAGCAAGTTTAGTGCGTTGAGTATATGGTTAGAATCACATACCGGGAAGAACTGCCGGAATCCCTTCATGTCCAGCCGGCCCAATGCTCCCACAAACTCCTCCACCAAGTCCGCTCCCATTCCCATTCCTGGCAACTCGCGATCCCGCAAGTACTGGAGGTACTCCATTCCTGTCTTGGCGTATATCGTGCGCTGCAGACCTCCTGCTTCGGCGAGGACCTGCTTGGCCTGTGCATCCTTCGAGTTGAAGGACGGGGTTGCGGGCAGCGCCCAGCACAGAGGCGACAGTCGGGTGATCATGAACTGACCAAATCCTGGCAGTGCTTGTTGCTGGGCTGCCGCGCCATTCGCACCCTCCGGCGCAATGTCGGGCCCGCCCCAAGAGCTGCCCATCTTCGACAAGACCGAGAACGCCATCTTAGCAGTAGTGAAGTCCTCAATGTCCTTGGCGAAATGCTCGATAGTACCGATGACCGTTTCGAACATGGGTTGGTTCCCTAGTGTCGTTAGTTTCGATTATAGTATCAAAATCAATCAAACTTACGCTCGCTAATAATAACGGCCCCAAGCTCGTTGTTCAGGACCGCCAGCAGGAAGTTGAGGTATTCCCGCTTCAGCTCGGCCAGCTGGACCTCGTCATCAGTGCCGGTCGGGGCGTCTGCAATGCCAGAGAACACCCGCTGCAGGAATGGGGTCAACAGCGCATCTAGGATAGAGTAGATCTCCGCCTTGAAACCGAAGATGACTTGATCCAGCAGTCGCAGGAACAGAGCCATCTCATCACGAGAGGACGTCTGTGTGAGCAGACCGTCAATCCACCGCGGCAGCTGGGGCAGGATGCGGGATCCCAGAACGCCAATAAGGCGCGAGAATGCAAACCGAGCAGCTGTTCTGA